TACTCTCTCTTCAACAAAATTAGAGATAAGGAGAAAATAGTTTCTGCCTGGTGGCGGGGGGAAGGGGGAAGAAATGACCCAAACATTGTATGCACATATGAATAAATAAATAAATAAAAAATAAATAAATAAATTCCTGCATGTGCATTACACAGCTCAATTGATGGAAAGAGGCTCTCTGTCAGTCCTATGTTATTGTCAGTTTTGGTAAATCGTGTGATCTACTGAGTGTTACCCTACCCTTAATTTTGTGAAAATATGCTTCCCAAAAAGCAAGTAGTGCCCTAAAAGCAACATAAAAGTGAAATGTGCTTAATTTAAGTGATCAAGTGAAAGTTTTAGATTTGTTGAAAGGCAGCATGTCTTTAGTGGGGAAAAGAATCTAGCATCTGCCGTAGAGTACTGAACCATATACATCTTAAGCATTTGCAATTTTTCTTCAATAGCAGTCTCCTTGGAACCATATACCTGTGGATATCAAGGGTCTACCTTATTTGCTCCAAAGTCAACAGCTCTTGCTGGCCTATGTAATCTTCCACAGCCCCTTTCCCAGGGATGTTTCAGACATCACTCTACCTGACTTTCAGGAGCCGTGCCATTTTTATCTCTGCTCCCAAAGATTTATCATGATCAACCTGAACCAAAAGAAACAGTTGAATAGGGAATTTTTGGTGATTCCTATTTCTTTGTGTTGGGTTTTTCTCTGGCCTAGTCAAGAAGACTGGTAGAGAGGGGTGAGTCCCAGAGCAGGGCCTGCAGCTTTGAAGGAAACTCCAGACCCCACTAGCATTTCCTTTCCCCTGCATTGGGTAGGAAATAAGGAGGGACTAAGTGAGCTTGGGGTACAGAGCAGGAAGGGAATCTCTGTAAGAAGGGCCACCTCCCTTTTCCCTGGATTGGTGTTGACAGGGGTTAGCTTGCTGGAGAGACTGGGCCCTTGTTCTCATGGAGCCTACCAAGTAGGCAATCTGCCTGGCCGCAAATCAGTGTAGTAAGTCAGAGCAGCCTTGCTGGAAGAGCATTAGATCCATGCTTTTCCACTTTTTCCCATTATAGATCTGAGCATATATTAATTGTGCAAAGATCTATCATTGTGATATTTCTATACATACATGTAATGTACTTTGCACTTTGATAAAATTCACCCTTTCTGTTATTATTTTGTATCCCCTCCCTCCTTTTAAACTACCACAACCCCTTTACCCACTTTTTTTTTTTGGTGGTACTGGGGTTTGAACTCAGAACTGCTCAGGGCCTCATGCTTACTAGGTAGTTGTGCTACCCCTTGAGCCACTCTGTCAGCCCTGTTTTGCGTTGGTTTTTTTTTGAGATAGGGTCTCATGAACTATTTGCCCAAGCTGGCTTCGGACCACAGTCCTCCTGATCTCTGCCTCTTGAGTAGGTAGTATTATAGGTGTGAGCCACTGGCGGCATCCTCTCCTTTTTCTATGAGACTTCTTGCTTGTTCTGACTTAAGAATGGGTCCCAGAGTTGCTTTCAGTTTAAGTTCATGTTCCCCTTCTTCTCCCATCTCCTATTGTGATTATCGTGGCTGTGACTTGTCTCCTTTACTCCCTCCCTGGGGATGAGGTGTCTCCTTCCCACAACCCTAAGGATGATGGTTAAATTGCCTCCTACTCTTAGAGGAAATCAGAAAGGGTTAAGAAGGGGAAAGGGATTGCTTTGTAGTCACATTGTTGGGAAGCACTTGCTGAATATGGGATGGGAGCAGCCATTGACAACCCAGAAGCAAGAGGGCAGGTCCCTGGGATGTTAGACACTACATAGGCTTTTGAGGAGGAAGAAAGAAACTGCATAAATACCCACAGCATTCTAGACACATACAAATGTAAAGTCTTTATCATTTGATCCTTGTAAAACCCTGTCAAATAGTGAGATTATCTCCAAGTTATGAATGAGTTCATGAAGGTTTGATAGCTCTGAAGAGCCCAAAGTTGATCTTGAGCTCTTTGGCTCCACCTTCAGTACCTGACCTCTGCCTTTCTGTTCAGCAAGGGTTGTACTAAGGAGTTAGCAAGAACTTAGCTCAGCTTCTGCCTCTAAGAGTCCAGTCTCTGTGAAGCCACTGAAGGATAATATCAGGGAAACAAACCCTTGACTGAGTCCGGAACTGTGTTAGGTTGCTCCCTGTATATACCCGGAACTCAGGAAGTTGTGTTTCCTAAAGGCAGAGCAGCTTCCTCTGGACATTGGAGCCCTGCTGGACTCATGCATATTATCAGGTGGAGGCAGGAGCCTTGACGCCTTTGTCTGGCAGGAAGAGAACTGTCCTGATTCTGCTGTCTTGGCTGGTGGCTCTCACTGCAGTCAGTGATCTGCTTCTTGTGAGAAAGCTAGAGGTTGAGGATTTCCTCTTACCCATTTTCTTAATCTCACTTTAGCCTTGACAAAGCAGGTAAGTCTAGGACCACTGTCCAGAAAGTTCCATCCAAAGATCTAGACAGGAGGATGTGGGCCTATGGTCAGGGCTGCTTCATGCTTCTACCTGTTTCCAGGTGGTCCATCTTCTTGAGGATCTAAAGCTTGATCAGATCCCTTATATGTCTCTTCCAAAAGGGGGTGACTTTGCTTAGTCTTTAAGCCCAGAGAGGACCAGGCATTTCCTTACCACTTCACCTGGTAAGGTGGTGTGAAGCCACAGCAATGACACTGTTAGCTGAGGGAGGAAGTTGGTATAGACAGTATGTGATGTCTGCCACAGTAACAATAGGCTACCTCCTCTCCCTCCCAGCAGTTCTCTTCCAGGGAAGACAACAGCAAACTTTTTTCATGGCATAGACTTGAGAGAAACAGTCAGATGACAGCAGTGTGCTTAGGATGTTCAGAGCCAAGACTGGTCCTGAAACTGTTTCTGTCTTGGGTTCAGCTGGCAGCAGGCTGGCCCCAGTTAGGCTCTGGGCCTGACTTTGGCCTTTGGGTCACTGTTTGTTAAGGCTTCCTATGCCTGTCTTGCTGTCCACACAGACATATTGAGACTGACCCTTAGCAAAGCAGCTCCTGAGAACATTCTGGGTTTGTCTCTGCCCATTCCACGTCAATACGTCAGGACTCAGCGTCTCTTTCCTGTGAAAGTTAGGACAGATTTATGGGACAACGGAAATCATGAGGAATTTTAAATGGTCATCTCCTACCTTTCTTTCATCTTTCTACTAGACTTATTTCTCTAGTCCTAAATTCTTTCATTTGTAAACTCCAACCAGAAAAGTCAACCCACTTCCTTTTTTGAGTCATAGTGATTCTGTTTCCAACCAGTAGATGAGCCCACAGCTAACAGGGGCTCTTAACCATAGGCCCATCATCAACTTACTGTCTACTAGGTGCTTGTCAGGAGACTGTAAGAATAGATACAGTCTTTCAGGGGTTGGGTAAGTATACAACTGGCTTAATAGTATGTGTGAGATAAACACATGATAGGTTGTGTGACAGAAATAAATGATACTCAGGGTTTCTTCTTAATTCCTTAGAAAATGGAGGACCCTATTCCAGGATTCTTCCTCCTTGGGAATCCTGGGTGCACACATTTACATCCCCAAGGATGAGGATGTCATGCATGGGTTACCAGGGACTGAGAGCCAAACTCAGAGCAGTAGGTAGAGAGAGATGAGAGGAAGGCCCTCCAGGAGGCTGGGGAAGAGACTGGCTCTGTGGGAAGTCATGTAGATTATAATATAGCTGTGACACATCAGATGGGGATTATATTTGATACAAAAGTGTGAGCAAGCAGGTGCAGTGATTTGATTGGTGTCAGACTGCCTTTCAAGGCAAGGCCTGTGACCTGGAACAAAGGCAGCCAGACTGAGAGGAGAAAGGAGAGGCATAGCTGCAGGGAACAGAGGAGGGGAGGCTGACTCCTAGCATGAATGCTGTGCATAGGTGCCTTAGCCCTTCCCTACTCACTTTACCATCTATTCATTCAGCAAACAGTAATGAACAAAACAAATGAATTCTGGGCTGTCCTTCAATATCCTACACTAGATTGTTTCAATGAGGGCTGCATCTTAGTTAATTGTGAGAGGTGTCATAACTAACTTGCTACTAATACTTAATGTCTTAAAAGTAATTGGGTGGTTCTCTTTATACAAATGTCCTCATTCACTTGCATCTGATTCATGGAAGGAGGAGAGTGACAGCACCTACATAAGTAGAGGTATCTCATAGTTCACCCATGCAACTACATGATAAAGAAAGTTGCCTATCTCAGGTCATGGTGGAAAAGCAGATTGAAAGTTGCTGCTTTAAGCTGGTGGCTTTCAGAGTTTTGATGTGTCTCATGTTTGCAGCTTGACCTATGTGTGTATGACATACGTTCATATATACATGAAGTATAAGAGAAATGAAAACTTCACAAAATATTTATGCTGCCTGCTAGCAATGAATTCTGGTTATCTTCTAGTAAAATCTTTTTTTGGCGGTGCTGGGGTTTGAACTCAGTTTCATACTTGCTAGGCAGGTGCTCTACTGCTTGAGCCATGCCTCTAGCCATTTTTGCTCTGGTTATTTTTGAGATAGGGTCTCACTTTTTGCCCAGGCTTCTTGGAGTAGCTGGGATGACAGGTGCATGCCACCATACCAAGCTTTTTCTGTTGAGATGGGGTCTTGCAAACTTTTTGTCCAGGCTAGTCTGAACCCACAATCCTCCCAGTCTTCTCCTCCATGTAGCTGGGATTACAGGCATGAGCCACTGGCATCCATCATAAATATGCTCATTTTCATTTAAAATAGAGTTAATTTTGACTCACTAAAATTGATTCCACCACCTGTGGTTTAGAAAACTGCTCAACCAAATTAGACTAACACAGTAGGGAGACAGGAAGACTGCCATACTGTTCTGAGCTTGCCTTATCAGCAAAGTCAAGGTGAAGTCTGATGGCCCAGAAAGGGAAGGCAGGAGCAGTCCGGGCTTTCTATCCTCCAGGTGTGTGTGGGAGGAACGGGGGAGAGTGGGGAGTTCAGCCTATTGATTCAGGTTCTTTTCTCAGAGCTCCATGAATTTGCCTCCTGACAAGGCCCGGCTTCTGCGGCAGTATGACAATGAGAAGAAATGGGATCTGATCTGTGACCAGGTATGGACTTGGGAAGAGCAGGGAGGTGGGGATTTGTGTCAGGCTGGATAAGGCAGCAAGGCCAAATGCATCAACTGAAGCCCTGGCAGGAACACCAGCCTGAGCTTGGCACCATGTGTGCCAACTTTCTCTTCCAAGGAGACTCATGAAAGAGACACAGTTGGTAGGCCAAGGTCCCACAAAGGGCTATCTTGATTTCTTCCAGTGGGCAGTGGTGCAAAGGTGGTTTGTGCAGAGATGACTATGGAGTAAGAAAATAGGTAGTTTTCCCAGCAGAGCCTGTTTCTGCCTTTCCCCAGGGTTGGTGCTGTACCTGTAGGGCATGCCAAAGGACCTGTATCTCTCCCTTTGCTCCAGGCCTGAAAAATAGCATGGTGTTTATCATTATCTAGGAATGAGATGGCCCTATCCCCTAGTCTCCTGCTTCCAAATCTTGGAACAATCAAGGACTACAGTTCTCTTTGCATGAGTGGTGTTTAGAACTGGACAAGAAAAGAAGAAAGAGCATTGCTTTGTTCAGAATCAAGGTCTTCTAATACCCACCACCTGGCTCTTTTCCCCTGCACACATTTGAAGGTCATGGGTAGTGAGTCTTTTCACTTAGGACTATCTGCAATGGTTAGCTTTGGCTACCTCTTCTGTCTCTCTTGGCAGATATGGAAGGACCTGGCACAGAGCATGTAAAACATGTTTACCCAGCACTTTGCCATAAGGCTCTGTCATGAACAAATCTTATTTTCAAGCTTTGAACAAAATCATAATAGCTAATACTAATAGCTGATTATGTGTCAAGAACTCTGCACATACTGAAACATCTCATATAATTCTCACAAAAACCCTCTGAGGAAGGCACTTGCATTTGAAAAACTCATAGCTCAAGAACCTGTCCAGTGCTGGTAAGTAGTGGAGCCAGGTTGGGCTCAAGCAGGTGCCAGATCTGCACTAACTGTTCCTTTCTACTATCTCCTGAGTTATGCTGCTTGACCTGAGCTAGAATTCAGAGGGCCTAGTCTAAGTTCCTTCTTCTCTGGTGGAGGCCCATTTCCTTGGGATCTGCATTAAAAAGAGTTGGTTGGCACTTGCTTGGGGTTTGGAGAGCAACAGCTCTTTAGTACTGAGGTTCTTTAATAATCTCGCAGTCTTTTCTAGGTCACATATTTTCAGCTTTCCAAACCTTTCTTTTTTTCTTTCATTTGTTTTCTAACATTACATCATTCTCTTGAAGCCCTATTGGGCTTCTCTATCCCTGAGTCCTTCAGATATCTTAGTTGTGGAGGTCCTCATAGGACCAGAGTGCTAAGGAGTTTTCTAAATTTCCTTTTGGGCCAGATGAGGGGCCTAGGCCAAAGAACTGAAGGCATAGTCCTATGCTCTATGGGAAAGGGAATTGAGAGGCAATTTGATTGAGAGCAGCCTTCAGCATTTGAGATTGCTTTGGATTGTTGGGGCCTGAGGCTTGGGCAAGGAGCAGAAGGTGCATTTGCACCCCTGAGCTGTGTTAACACTGCAAAAACAGTCCAGTCCCAGTTGCTGGATTCTGCAAGGCCAAGCTCCCCTCCTGTTGGCCTTCTTGAACCCATTCATTAGTTGGCCAAGTAGAGAACAGCATTCCCCAGTTGCATCTTTATTTTGGATACTGCTCACAGCTCTGTAATCCCTGCATCTTAGTAAGCAGCAGGCTCTTAAAATAAATTTTGACAGAAAAGTATTTTAGGCTCAGGGAGCACTAATTGGAGGAGGAAAAGATGGCAATAGCTGGGAAATGCCTATGGATAAGCCAAGAAAGGAAACCTAGAGTTTGGGCAATGGTAAGGGTGACAGCTGGGAAACTGAGTCCCTCACATTGAGCACTCTAAGTGCTCTACTTTCTCAGAACATTCCTCAGACTCTGTGTTTCTGTGTGTACATGTATGCATGTTTCCCTTACAGGAACGATTCCAGGTGAAGAATCCTCCCCATACTTACATCCAGAAACTCCAGAGCTTCTTGGACCCCAGCGTAACTCGGAAGGTGCAGTACAAGGCAGCGAGGCCCCATCTTGATGCCCTTTATACCCATATGGGGCACAACCCTTTGACTTAGGGCTTGGACATCTGTTTCTGAGCAATAGGAGTTGGATTTCTGGACTGTGAGGCCAGAGACCGGGAGTGACTGTCCTGTGCTTAAGGGAAGGTCTATAACTACCCTCTCTGTTTGCTTTTCTGTTCCCTTGTCTTTATACTGTAAAGTTGGATAGCCAGCCATGGTGCACAACATCCGTAATCTCAGCACTTGGGAGGCTGGGGAAGAAGGATCTTGAGTTGAAGGCCAGTCTGGGCCATCTCAAAAAAAAAAAAAAAAAGTTGGATGGGGGCCTCCATCAGTGACAGAAGATTCCATGTTTACAGAAGTTCAGGAGGAGAGTGCAGGAGTCAACCAAAGTCCTGAGGGAGCTGGAGATTTCACTTCGCACTAATCACATTGGGTGAGTAGAGTTTGGCCATCCCAGCCTTTCTGATCCTAAGCTTTTCTTGCTTAGGATCCTGTGAGGATGATTTGCCTGTTTATCTTTCCTGTCAATGGAGCAGGGTTGCCCCTTGAATGGCTTCTGGCTTCCCAGAGCTTCAGACTGTTCCTTTTCTGGCTTTTCCTCCCCTCAGCTCTGCCAGCTGCTGACTGGATGCTTCTGGCAAGCTTGGGGCCTCTCCTGGAGGCCTCAGTCCATGGCTTTGAGTGGAAAACATTCCCACAGCAGCTGAGACTGGAGTCTGCCTGTGGCCTGGTACTGGGCCAAGCGAGGCCCAGAGAAGGCTGGAAATGAGGGAACATATTGCATTGGGTAGATGAGACCTACTTTGTATTAGGTGATTATTTGGACTCTGTGGTGCCCAGATTATTTACTTGTTTGAGAAAAAACAATCTTAGCTCATGAGCAGAAGAAGCTTCCTGAAGCACCAGAAAACGTAAGGCAGTGGGAGCCAGGAGTTGAATATCTCCTGTATTCATAAATCCTGGTGTTGCCAACCCATTAACAGAGCCCCCAGGATCTGTGTGAGTCTTTCTTTCCAGTCTGAATGGGGAACCAGGCATGCTGAGGAGGCAGATGGCTCATGCAGTTAGGTTCAGAGAAAAAGGGCAATGCTTCCATTCTATGAAACTGTAGCGATCAAGAGTGTATATGGGGGTGGGGGGGAGAGAGAGGACAGTGAGGGACATTAGACAGGAGTTCTGACTGACAGAGGAGCCCTTCATGATGGTGAGTGCCTCAGTGATAAGTGGAGCCTCTGGTGGGGTGAGGTCCCTGAGCTTCCTGAGAGAAGAGTGGGAAGAGCCAAATGATACCATCAGTGTTTCCTGTCATGGCAGTGGTCTGGTTGCTCACCCTTGCTTACTCACCCTTAGGCTAAGCCTGCCAGGGGCTCTTCAGAGGAAGGAGACACCTGTATATAGCCAGCTGCAGCAGCAGTCATGAGGGAAACAGCACAGGAGAGAATAGGAACATAACAGTTCCTGACCTCGGAAGCTGTGCTGTGGGGGCCAGGGCATGACTTCTAACCTCATCTGTGAACCAGACGTGGAAAGCCAAGTTACTGGGAAGGGTGTGGTCAATCCTTCACCTTTGTTTGGTGAATCCTTCATAGGATGAAAACTGGCAGGGCTTCTCAGTTAGCTTGTGTGTCAGGGCAAGAGTGACACCTGCCTCAGACCCAAGCACCACTCCACAGGGCCTCCTTCCCTCTCAGGCCCTGCTGTTTTTCTTAAGTCCTGCCTGCTGCAGTTGGTGTAGAAGAGCACAACAGTGTATGACACTCCCTGTGCTCTGCCCCTCTACCTGGTGCCTGTCACTCTGTTATCTGGCCAGAAGCTAGGGCCAGACCAGCATGGCTCCCAGGTCCTAAGGGGCTCTTTGTTGGCACATAGTTAGAGGTCTGGACCTGGTCCTTGGTTCCCAGTAAATAGCTTAGCACTGGCATTTTTAGGAGTCCCTGCCATCTAACCTGAGGCTTCCCTGGGCAGTTATGTGGAACAGCCAGGATTCTTCATGGCAGGAAGAATTTGTCAGGCTGTTGTGTGGGTACTGCAGGGTGAGAGGAGGCCAGGACAAGGTGAGGAGAGGCGGAGCCTGCCTTGGTCACAGTCTGATCAACAGGGGCCTGCAGAAGCACACATGCAGGCAGCAGATGAGAAATCAGGCTCTGGAGTGCCACTGGCTGGGAAGTGGGATTCCAGGGCCCCTGTAGCTCCTCCTCCCTCTCTCGTTTATATTGGTTTCTCTGCCTTGCCTAAGTGCCCTTTAACCTCTCCTCAAAGTGTCAAGATCCCGAAAATAGCAGGGTAGACTTAGACAGGAAATGAGAAGGGGGTGGGGAGCTGGAGAGCAGACAGACAGGAAACGGGAGGCCTGTCGGCCCCCAGAGAGGAAGCTAACTTCAGGCAGCTCTGGTGTCAGTCAGCTTTCTGCCAGAATCTGCTGCCAAATCTCAGCTGGGCCCAGTGCTCCAGCCCCAGCCTCTCTGGAGCTTGGGGTGTGGCCAGCCAACATGGTACTAGTATTTGAGCTGTGGGGAAAAAGTAGTTCTTCAGGGCAATTTAGGCATAGCTGGCTTATGCAGACATCCTCCCTAACCCCAGACATTTTGATGGCATAAAACACTAAGGAGAGTGAAGGTTTTTTATCCTAAGGATTTTATGTCTCTGTGCAATGAAATGAACCAGTCATATAATGGTCCTCCCCAAATTCACTCTTGACATTCATTCCAGAGATATCTCAGCCCAGGAGTGAAGGCAGAAGGTGAAAATGCCTTAGGACATTGTCCTCAGGTGTCCTGTTGTCTACCTGCTGCCTTCCTGGTCCAAGGTCCCCACATCCTCATGAGTCCAAGAGGTCATGACACTGTGGTGTTCCTTGAATTCCTGTTTCATCACCCAGCTTTTTTCTGCTCTGCCGGACTCACTCTGACTAAACACAGAACTCCCACATCCCTCTTTGCTCACTGCTTCCCAAAACTGCCATCCTTGAACTCAGTGGAGTACTATTTGGCCCAGTGAACCTCTGTTCCAGAGCTCTTTGCCCTTTCCTGCCAGTATCTTGACTGAGACGTCAGTCAATTGGTGACTTGCTGGTTCTGTCAAGCACAGCTCCATACATGGCCTATGGTAAATGCTCTGAATGCTTCCCCAGTTCTTTTTCTTGTGAATTATTTTTATTAGCAAATATTACTTGTACAAAATGAGTTCTGAACTCTACTGAGTGCTTAAACAGTTGAAGATTCTGTCTCCTGCGATTTTATATTCTTGTATCAAGCCTGACATACTTATTTTTAACTTGTTTGTAGTTTCAATTGGCAATTATAGTTGTATAGATTATATATTTATGGAGTACAATGTGATGTTTACTAAGGTATTTTCATGTTATCTATCTTCTAATTACCACCAATGAATATTTACTTAACTTATGTAAAAATTCTTGTCCTTTGAGATTTGTGTCCTGTCTCTTCTATATTCTCTATTTTATTCATTATTGATATTTACCAAGAGTTTTGGTCGATACTTTGCATTTCATGTAATGTCACCAGTGGTTGGTTTCAGGATTTTACTGGCATCATAATGAATATGTATGAGGAAGTATGTAAATTTAGTATTGTTTCTCCTTTAAATATTTGCTAGAATTTACTAATGCTACCATACATACCTCATAATTTCTTTGTGAGAAGGTTGTTAATAATAAAGAAAATTTCCTTGAAAACTGTAAAAAAAAATGAAGTTTCATTATTATATTTCCAAACATGCATGTAATATACTTTGATCATATTCGCTCCCTCTTATTACTCTTTATTATTCTCCCACCCTCCACTTTTCTAAACCTTTTTAGAAATGCCTCCCCAATATTTTCATCCAGCAAGGACATTTGCCAAGCTTGGTTAGACCAGGGATACACAAAGTGATTGAATTAGAGCCCTGGTCCCTAAGGAGAAAGCATATTCACAAAAAAGCAAGTGATAGTGGAAGGACCTATGCTTTCCTCATCCCTGGCTCCCCTGCCTGGGGGAGGTCCAGGCTGGTGACATGACCACCAATAGGTGTGTCGTGGGTTTTGATTATCAGAATTTTCCTAGCCTGGTGATAGGGTCCAGAAAGATTCAAGAGGGTGTGTAGTAGGTTCAGAGTACCCTCAACTCACTTTAGTAGACTCTCTATACTGTGTTTTCTGTATTTGCAGGTGGGTGCGGGAGTTTCTGAATGATGAAAACAAAGGCCTGGATGTGCTGGTGGATTATCTGTCCTTTGCCCAGTGTTCTGTCATGTGAGTATCACCACAGGGCTAAGGTTTAGGGACCCACTAGGGAGTTCACAGTTCTAGTCTCCTTAGAAGAGGAAGGGTGAGATTCCAACAGTGAAGGTGGAAGTGAGCATCCCAGGCCAGGAGGAAGTAGCCCAGGTGTGTAGAAGTAAATAGGCAAGCCAAGGGGATGTCTAAGAATTAATGAAGGATGACCAGGTGGATGGAAGAGATGTGTTTTGGGGAGCTGGAAGTGAACTTGAAATCAGAACCCGAAGTATCCAAATGCTAATCTATAAGAAATCCAAGGAAATGTCCTGGCTCCTGGGAGATTCTCTGGATATCCATCCATCTCTGTAGAACTGAGTCTTCCTGAAGCAATTCTGGGTCCCCAAGTTATTGTTGAAGAACCCAGGAGCAGTGAGCATGACTTTTGACTTGGATAGAGAGAAGAAGGCTTGAGAGCCTTTTTCTGGTAGCCCTTTTGGCTTGGAGGCAGCCAGAAGTGAGTTAGCACAGCAAAGACAGCATGGTGTAGTGCAAGGAAGGACGACTTTCCAGGCAGATGAACTTGGCTTTGGGTCTCAGTTTTGTCCTGTAGTATGTGTGTAATCTTATGGATGTTTGTCCTCTTCAATGAAAAGAGATCCACATGTCAGGGTTGTAAGGGTTTGATGGTAATATGTGTAAAATATTTAGTAGTATTTGGAACATATTAGGTCTACACTGTGGTAGCTGCTTTATTGTTAATTTTATTACTATTTAGGGTGGCATGCCTTGCCATAATTACCTTAATATATGGAAAGAGGAGTGATAGCAAACGAAGTGGTCAGCACATTCAGACTTACACCCTAGATAAATCAGCCCTAGGGAGAGCAGTTGTTCCTATTTGCTTGTGACTTTCTGTAGCTCCCCAGCACTTAGAATCCCTAGTCCTAGGAAACCCCAGTCCTGGTCCTTGGCCTTTGCCTAGACTTAACTTTTCTACTGTCCCTGCCCCCTTGACTGTTCTCCTTTGTCTAGCAGGTCTTCGGTCTTATTTTCTCTGGGGCACGCACTAATGTATTTCCAGGTTTGGCCTCCCTATCACCTTTTCCAGCTTATCCTCTGTTAAAAATGAGAGTGTCCCACTCCCCATCCCCATTCCTGTAGAAGTCATACCTCATGATCCTCCTATCCCTTTAAATACTTTTTATAGAAAAAAAATGAAAAATATTTGCCGAAATAGATTTTTTTAATTCAGAACTTTTTATAGTAAAAAGATATAGATCATTTTTCCAAATAAGCCTATCTTATTTGAAAAGCAAACAAATCCCAACTGCTCTAAACCAAGAATACACGGGACCCTCAGTGTTACTGGTGTCCACGGCAGTGCCTCTGACTCTGTTTTAAGACTCCAGGGGAGGAGAGAAAATGTGTGTTTTGGAAAGGCTCGACAGGAAAGAGGTAAGGTCACATAGAGTTTGAGTGAAGGCATGTATTTATAAACTTTCATGTGCCAGTGCTCTGGAATACCATGCTTGATGAAGAGAAGCCACCAGCAAGCTGTCTCCCTATTAGGGAGTTTCCTCTGATGTCTAATGGAGAGCCCCATTAACCACCTCCTCCCAGTCATCAGGATTCTAACACCTGCTCCTGCTTCTTTGTAACAGTTGGGCACTGGGCATCTATGGATATTGCTTCCTATTCCAGAAAGCCCTAGCCTCTATGCCTTTGACTAGGGGCATGCATGTGGAGCAGGATGTCCTGTGGGGAGGAGTCTGTGGGATATACTCCCTAATTCTTAGTATCCTACTGGGATAGAAGTCAGGAAGAAGTGAGACTGTTTCTCAGGGTGTGTATCTCAATGGGTATGTGTAAGAGACAACCGTCTTTTTCCTGGACACATTCACAAACTGCCGATGGTGGAAGATGTGACCCTAGAAACAGGAAGTGACAGAGAAGCCATCCCAGCTCCAGGGGCTATATGCAGGTCTCTCATCCCTAGTCACACTCTTAACCTGTACTTTCTTCCCCCAGGGAAGCTGAATTCAAGGAGCCTCTATATAAGAAAAATCTTGAAGCCTCAAATAGACAATCATAAAAAACATAACCACTAAAACTAGTGCTGCAGCCAGGCACTAGTAGCTCATGTCTGTAATCCTGGCTACTTGGGAGGCTGAGATCAGGAGAATTGCAGTTCCAGGCCAGCCCAGGCAAATAGTTCATAAGACCCCATCTCCAAAATAATCAGGGCAAAACGGACTGGAGGTGTAGCTGAAGTGGTAGAGCACCTCCTTTGCAAGCATGAACCCCTGAGTTCAAACCCAAGTCTTACCAAAAAAAAAAAAAAATGCTGGGGCTGATGGTGTAGCTAAATGGTACCAGTGTCTACTTAGCATGCTGAACCAGTACAAGGCCCTGGGTTCAATCCCTAGCATAACAAAACAAAAGTGCAAAAGCCAGTGCTAGGATGGGCAATGGTACACTTCCTAATTAAAAAGGACCATTTCACTCTGCTTTCTGGAACCCTTCCTTTCACACCTGCCCAATCCAAAATGAACTAGGCTCCCTCAGGGCACTCAGGCTCCATAGCCATTGCAATTGGCTAATGAGCAAGACTTGCAGTTAGAGCCAGGCAGTGGTGGCTCATGCCTGTAATCCTAGCTACTCAAGAGGCAGAGATCAGGAGGATAGCGGTTTGAAGCCAGCCCAGGCAAATAGTTCAAGACCCTATCTTGAAAATACCTAACACAAAAAAAGGGCTGGCAGAGTGGCTCAAGTGGTAGAACTGCCTGCCTGGCAAGTGTGAAGCCCTGAGTTCAAACTCCAGTACCACCAGAAAAAAACAAAGACCTGCAGTTGGCCCATTCCCCACCACTCCCTCCTCAGGGCATATTTTCTATATGGAGCTATGTGGAGCTTCTTTGAGATGCATCCCCTACTCCCTTTTTTTTTTTTTTTCTGTTCTGGGGTTTGATTTCTGGGGCCTATACTTGTGCCACTCCCTCAGCCCTTTTTGCTTTAGTTATTTTTCAATTAGGTTCTCACATTTTTGCCCAGGGCTGGACTGGACCAGAATCCTCCTATTTATGTTTCCCACATAGCTCAGGGGACAGATGTGAGCCACCACTTCCTGGACCTTCTCTGCCCCTGTCCTATGTTGGTGGCTCCCAACCAGGATTGAGTCTCTGCTGCCCAATTCTGCTTTCTTTTCTTGCTGCCCTTGCTTCTTATTGCCCTAGAGACTTGAAGAGTTGGGAGGTGGGCTTGCCAGGGGCTTGGCACAGAATTTCTCCTGTGTATGTGCCTGCGTATGCGCATGTGTGTCCTTTCATGCTCCAGGTTTGACTTTGAGGGTCTGGAGAGTGGTGAGGATGGTGCATTTGACAAGCTCCGGTCCTGGAGTAGGTCAATCGAGGACCTGCAGCCGCCCAGTTCCCTGTCGGCCCCTTTCACCAACAGCCTCGCTCGCTCTGCGCGCCAGTCTGTGCTCCGGTATGTGTGCGCTCGCTCTGCCCGCCTGCCTCCTACCCCAGCCCCAGTCCAGGTCTCAGTAACTGCGGTGAGTGCTCATGCTCCTCCCTCCACTCTTGCTTTCAGGCTCAGCTCTCTTGCCCTCTGCCTGCCCGTCTGTCTCTGGTCTGTTCTCTCTGTCTCCCTGACTCTGCCCAGCAGTCTGTCCTGGGTAAGTACATGATCCTCAGCTGTGCTGACCCACCTGGGGTTCCAGCTCTCCCCTCCTCCACTCCTCACTCTCTCTCAGCCATTCCTCCCCAAACTCTCCGGCAGGGCTTGGGCTTCACTGACTGATCCAGCTCCTTCCCTCATGACTGTTTCCCTTTAACTCTCACTCTGCCCCTTCAGCTGCGTGGAGATCAGCTCCTACCTACTTGCCTACCCTTCATCTTCCCTTGCCTTCTTCCTTCAGGCCTTTCTCTATATAGCTGCTATGCAATCATTTGTCTGCAGTGTCTTAAGAGCCATCTTGCCAGTAAGACTGAATGACTTCTCAGAGCCCATCCCACTCAGGAGGCTGTCTTTAGGGTCTATAAGCCCTTTCCTAGGCATCTGTTTCTCTTGTGGCCCCGTTTACTTCCTTTGCGTTTTGTCCCTCAGCCATTTATCATTATGGTCTTGGGGAAGCAGATTCCATGCTTGCTTCCTCTTTTTTTTTTTTTTTCTTCACAAAACATCATTGAGGCAACGGAGGGGTGGTATAGCCACCTGGCCTTCCTAAAACCTGTGGAGATCTGTTCTGCCTTTTGGGGACATAGGAGTGAGATGAGATCCAAGATGCTCCTGCCCCACGGAATGTACAGAAGGTGCAGCAACTGGAACGAGAGGGGGAAGGCTCAGATGAATGTCTTTCTGAACTCATCTCGAGGACACTGTGTATTTCAGAGGGTCTCTGGGGTTAGCTTGGTTTGGGCACTGGTTATAAAGGTGGGATCCTGGGCAGTTGCTGACAAAGCCTCTTTCAGGTGAACACAGGCTGACCACCCTGCCTTCCTGTGCCACCTCTCTTTGCCATTGGTTCAAGGTCCTCTTTCCCCCATTTCTGCCACTGCTAAGGGCAGCTGCCTGGGTAATGGTGAGTGTTCCTAGACTCTTCACTAGTAGTCTTAGCCCCTCCTACCACCTGAGTGCCTGGCCCTCTCCTGCAGATACAGCACTCTCCCTGGACGCAGAGCCCTGAAGAACTCCCGCTTGGTGAGCCAGAAGGATGATGTCCACGTCTGTATCCTTTGTCTCAGAGCCATCATGAACTATCAGGTAAGGGGTAGCGCTATCTGTGGGTACTCTACTTCTTCTGCCTCATCTGCAAACCAGGACAGCTAACTTATGAAAGACAAGTTTGCTAGTGGGCCATGGATAAGGAGATCTGCTAGGCTCTCCCTTTACTTACCATCAAGGTCCTCTCCTGTCTTTCCCTTGCAGTATGGCTTCAATCTGGTCATGTCCCACCCCCATGCTGTCAATGAGATTGCACTCAGCCTCAACAACAAGAATCCAAGGTGAGTTCTTTCTCTTCCCCACTCTGCCAAGGGCTCTGCAGGTCTGAGCTCCACTTGACCCTTACAAGTCCTGCTTGACTTGGGGTCCTGTAGCCAGAGTCAGAACTTTGGTTCTCCCTGCCCCCCCTTCTGCTTGAGAAGTTTCCTCTGGTCTGCACAGCTTAGTGAGGGAGCAAGCCTTCCTGCCCCACCTTCTTTCTAAAACCTACCCCTCCCCTTGCCATTGAGGTTGGTCATACCCTGCAGAAGGACTCCCCAATGGACATTAACTGTGTGGAGTCTAGGATGGGGAGCTAGGGTGCTAATCTTCCTTCTTTACCCTGTAGGACCAAAGCCCTGGTCTTGGAGCTCCTGGCAGCCGTGTGTTTGGTGCGGGGAGGTCACGAAATCATCCTTGCTGCCTTTGACAATTTCAAAGAGGTCAGATTCCACCCTGCATGTGTGTGTACTTGGGGAGAAAGTAGGGAGCCAGCTAGGTGTGCATCATTTTCTGGATCTTTAGTGATTTTAACATCCCAGTGCTTGGCTAAGCAGCTTGCTTTCCAGAGCAGGACCAGAACTAAACAAAACCAGAACTTTAATACTATTGGATCTTATGGTAGAAAACCTCCCAGTTGGCCAGCTAAGGATGTTCTGGGTTATAGTGCAGTGGTCCTAATCTAACCATCGTCACAGTCACATGTATAGACCTCCTCCTAACCCACTGGAGCCTGGGTGTCTATACTTTACAAGACTCCCTAGACAGTTCTGCTGCAGGAAAGAAGGATGGTCTCCTGGATTGTTGGTGAGGGGAAGGGAGCTCCTGTGTGGAATTTCCCCAGCCTCTGGGCCCACCTTCAAAACCCTGATCTGCTTAAACATGGGATTCCTCGACATCCAGCCACAGCTGTGGTCCCACCCCTTCCTCTTCTCTGGACCTCTTCCCTAGCGTCCATTGTTCAATACAGGAAACAGCTTTTCCTCCTTGAGCTCAGGCTCAGAGAGGCCCTAGGACCCTTTTCAGCAGAGGGCTTTCCTGCACATTGGCCTCTCCCCTTTGGCCCCCTGGGACCACAACCTTCTGTCTGAGCCATGGCCTATCTCCCTTCCTCCTTCCTTTACCCCTTCAGTAACTTAGCAGCATCAGACCCTTGGATCTCTTCTTGGCCTAGCCCCAAAGGCACAGCGGAGGGCATAGGCTATACTGGGTTCACTCAGTGAATTGGTGGGAGACCAGAAATGGAGGGCCAGATTCTGGATCCCAGGTTTTCCTCTATGTGTCCAAAATTGCCCATTCCCTAGATAAAGTTACAGTTAAACACAATCTGAACCAGTGCATTTACCATTATGTTCCTGGGAGCCATTGTTCAGGGGTTTGGGTTCTGTGTAGAGCAGATCCTTGAGAGAGTTTGCTCATTCAGGTGTGCAAAGAACTGCATCGCTTTGAGAAGCTGATGGAGTATTTCCGGAATGAGGACAGCAACATTGATTTCATGGTGAGTAAATAGGCTGGTGCATGCCCATCAGAATGCTGTGGCCAGCCAGGCGCCTATGGCTCAAGCCTTTAATCCTAGCTACTCAGGAGGCAGAGATCAGGATGATCGCAGCTTGAAGCCAGCCCAGGCAAATAGTTCACCAGACTCTATCTCAAAAAACCCCATCACAAAACATTGGGCTGGTGGAGTGGCTTAAGGTGAAGGCCCTGAGTTCAAGCCCCAGTGCCGCAAAAAAAAAAAAAAAAAAAAATGGTGTGGCTAGGGGCCACAATGACCATGTATTTGGATATTCTGTTTCTTCCCAGGTGGCTTGTATGCAGTTCATCAACATTGTTGTGCACTCAGTGGAGGACATGAACTTCCGGGTCCACCTGCAGTATGAGTTTACCAAGCTGGGGCTGGAGGAATTCCTGCAGGTGAGCTGGCTGGGAGCTAGGTAAGACACTTTGGGGTAGAGAACCAACTTAGACATTGTGCAAAGGGAGTTTATAAGAACCTAGTCCTGGATACTTTTAGAACCTGTCTGTCTTCTGTGACTTGGGACTCCTGTCACCCCAATCAGGCACTGCATCAAGCAGACCCTAACATGACCAGCAGCAGGAAGTCCCTGGTTGTATGCTCTAGGAAGTAGCAAAAGGTGATGAGGACTAAGGTTTCCCAGGAGGCCCCCAAGTCCTTTACTGATTTCCCCAACTATTACTCTCTTTGCTTTTCACCAGAAGTCAAGGCACACAGAGAGCGAGAAGCTGCAGGTGCAGATTCAGGCATACCTGGACAACGTGTTTGATGTGGGAGGTTTGTTGGAGGATGCTGAAACTAAGAATGTAGCCCTGGAGAAGGTGGAGGAGCTGGAGGAGCATGTGTCCCATGTAAGTAGCTTCCTTTATCTGCTAGAGCCACTGTTGAAGGTTGGGGAGGATGGGTACAACTGAATTCCAAGAATCCTGAACTGAACCACTTGCCTCCAGATTAAGCCTCAGAAAGACTTTTGAACCATCATGGCTCTGGCCTGAATCACTCTACCCTCACCCACAGGAACACACACTGACTTCCATGACTGGAGGTGACCTCAGGCTTAAGACAATCAGACTGCCGCCATATGCCTTGTATCTTTTTCTGTCTCACATAGTGTCAGACTCTGGACCTATAGGAGTGATGCTGGAAAGCCACCTAACCAAGCCGCCTTTGGGGTGCTGTGTGGGAGGGCAGGGGGTGTTGGGCCCAGGTCCTGACGGGTTGTCGAGGCATGCTGAGTGCCCAGGCTTTACTACAGCCCCAACCCTGCCTTTCCAATTCTGCAGCTCACTGAGAAACTTTTGGACCTGGAGAATGAGAATATGATGCGGGTGGCAGAGTTGGAGAAACAGCTGCTGCAGCGGGAGAAGGAACTGGAGAGCATCAAGGTATCAGTACTCCAGAGAGGGCAAGCCCTGACTGAGGCTCCAGGGCCTCGGGCCTTGCTTTTCTTTTATGAGTCATATTAAGGAAAGATCTTTATTCACTCTTGACACACTCAGATGAGGATTCACCCTATTTTTTTCACCTGGGAGAAAAGCTAAAGCCAGAGTGGGCCAGACACACACAAAAAGAGGGTGGGAGCAGACGGGATGACCATGAGTATCCCCTGGAGTCCAATTTAGCCTGCCCCTGAGGACCCTTGGAGTGCAATTTAGGTTGCCTATCTGCTGCCTTTTCCTCCACGTGCTTCCCAGCCCTGCTTACTGATCAGTGTCAGAGTAGCACAGTGCTCTCTGGCTGTTTATGTCTCTTCACCAGGTATCCTAAATCAGAAGGGGAGGACTCCTCATTCTCAGTCCTCTCACCTAACTTTTTGTTAGTTACAAAGTCATAATTCAACCTTCCTTTTCTTCCAGAGAAACATGGTTATGCTGGCTCTTCTGAGCTCAGTATATACATTTGTGCAGCCCTACTAAGTACTGTAATGAGAGCTATGGAGGATGCAGAGACGGCTAAGACCAGACCTGTCCATAAGACTTCCAACCAAGCAATTAATACACTAGTTATGGCCAAATGAAATAAAAATAGTAATGAGGAGGAAAAGGCTGTAGAGAGAGTAACTGTGTCAGGCTGGCAGTGGACCAAGGAGTTTCATAGGGGCATCCTTTTCCCTGGGCCTTGAAGGACCTGTGCAGTGAAAATAGGCCTGGAGCAGAGGAAAGGTCAGGATGCCAGTGGAGCACTGGAGGCAGGGTGGCCTATTTTTTTTTTTTCTGTTGGTCAGACTGGGGTTTTTAACTCAAGCAGGCCCTCTAAACACTTGCGCCACACCTCCAACCCCTGGCAGGCTCTTCTGCTTACCTCTTTTGTTATGCTGTACCCTGGCTCCCCCTGCTTCCTGATAGGGATTTCTGCCACCCTGAGCGCTCTCACCACACCTTAATTGAAAGTCCCTTGGCTAAGAATTCTCATTCCTAGTGGCCAATGAATATTGCAACTTCAGCTCACTCTTCTCTTAATGGTGCTGTCTGCTCTTTAGGAGACATATGAGAACACCAACCACCAGGTGCACACCCTGCGGAGACTCATTAAGGAGAAAGAAGAGGCCTTCCAACGCCAATGCCACCTAGAACCAAGTTCCAGGGGTTTAGAGTCTGTAGGTGGCGAGGTCCTGGCTAGGGTAGGCCCTGCAGAGCTGAGTGAGGGCATACAACCGTCTGACCTGGATCTGCTGGCTCCAGCCCCACTGAATGAGGAGGCCCTTCCTCTGCCCCCTCCACCGGCTCCGCCCTTGCCTCCACCCCCACCTCCATTACCAGGTAACCAGGACCCCTGAGCCAGGATGGATAGTATTTGTGGGGTCAAAACCCTAGTCAGTGGTTTCTTCCTTAAGGTGCATCTGGGAAATTGCACCATTTGAGGGCTGAAAGCATATCAAGTCAGGGCAAGAAGGTTGAGGGAGGACCAGGATGTAGGGAGGACCAGGTTATTAGTGTAAGTGGGTCAGGAGTAGACCCTGCTTCAAGGATCGAGATGCTCCTCCTAATTCCTCTGAAGATAGCCAAACAGAGGCTTAAACTATGGCAGGAGAAACAGTTAGAGGTAGTTTAAACTGCTTGTCAGGACTTCTGAGAGCAGCTTGGGCAAGTTCAGTCTCCTTCCCTGAGGGTCTCTAAGGACAGGTGGGATAGTCAAATGGCAGGGTGGCTGGGAAGAGTCTCTTGACCCCTGGGTCACTGTGCCATTTTTTCTTCTTCCAGACAAGTGTCCCCCAGCCCCACCTCTCCCTGGTGCAGCTCCCTCTGTAGTGTTGACAGTGGGCCTGTCAGGTGAGTCCCCAGGGTTCTGGTCAGGGCTGATGGAACCAGGAAAATGCATGCTTGGCCTCTACCTTACTGATCATCCTTCTAAACTAGCCATTCGCATTAAGAAACCTATCAAGACCAAGTTCCGCCTGCCGGTCTTCAACTGGACAGCATTGAAACCCAATCAGATCAGTGGCACTGTCTTCAGTGAACTTGATGATGAGAAGATCTTGGAGGTGACAGGGTCTGGGGTCCAGAGGGTTGCAGTGAGGTACTAGGGACCAGTTGCCCTTTCAGCTAGATCTCCTAGTCTTGGAAAAGCCCTCAGGAGCCAGAATTGGGCCCATGCTGCCAGTGAGTGCTCTCATAGTGTGAGGTTACAATGTTGTCCCTTCTCATCTACTCCTGCCAGGACCTGGACCTGGACAAGTTCGAAGAATTGTTTAAGACAAAAGCCCAGGGTCCTGCTCTTGACCTCATCTGTTCCAAGAATAAGACAGCACAAAAGGCTGCCAGCAAGGTGACCCTCTTGGAAGCCAATCGTGCCAAGAACCTGGCCATCACCCTACGCAAAGCTGGCCGCTCAGCCGAGGAGATTTGCAGGGCCATTCACACGTGAGATTCCCAGTGACCTCGCCCTGGGTCCCCAGCACCCAATTATCCACCCAGAAGCCTGGCTTTCCCTAGTTTCTAAGGCTCCTGACAGAACTTCCTCACACCCCTAAGTTATCCATTGACCTGGTCAGAACTTATTGCATCTGTGTCCCATGCCAGATACACTGTGAGGAGCTACAGATTCAACCCAGACCTTTACACAAGAAACTCTCATCTAGTGGGAACAATGCAGTAACTGAGTGATACCACTAGGCCTGGCAGAGCACAGACAGCTGGGTGTGGTCAGGGAAGGCTTCCTAGAAGAGGTGCTGTGTCAACTAGGATTGAAGGAAGTGCACAAGTTAGTCCAATACTAACTTGGAAGAAGCATGGTGCCTTGGGTACTGAAAATGGAATCTGGCTTTAGTGTAGGATGAGAGGTAGGAGAGACAGGTAGAGAATGAGCAGAAATCTTGCAGACCACTCTCAGGTGCAGAAGAAAGACAATGAAGGGCTTTTAAACAGAAGCGTGGCACATTCCCCCAAGATCATTGCTATGACAGATGAGGCAGTGGTGCTCTGCTTCCAGCTGTGTCCTATGCATAGCCTCCCCACCCTAATCCTTCTAGGGATGAGGGAGAATGCAGACAAATGCCAGACCTGAGGTGGTCCTCCTATCTACACAGGTTTGATCTGCAGACATTACCAGTGGATTTTGTGGAGTGCCTGATGCGCTTCCTGCCCACAGAGGCCGAGGTGAAGCTGCTGCGGCAATATGAGCGTGAAAGGCAGCCCCTGGAGGAGCTAGCAGCCGAGGACCGCTTCATGCTACTCTTCAGCAAGGTGGAGCGGCTGACCCAGCGAATGGCTGGCATGGCCTTCCTGGGCAACTTTCAGGACAACCTGCAGATGCTCACACCGGTACAACTGCCACCCTTTCCCCATTCCCCAACTTGTCACCTTTCCTACTGGTCCTTCTAGCCACCCCCCAACTCTACCTAGTACCTCCCAGCCTGGAGTGACTCAGTGTTCATCTTTTCCAGCAACTGAATGCCATCATTGCAGCCTCCGCCTCTGTCAAGTCTTCACAGAAGCTGAAGCAGATGCTAGAGGTGGGAGAGGGAATGAATGGGGTACTGGTAGTTCCCAGGTCCTGGGTGGAAGCCTGAGGCTATATGGAGAAGAGGAGGGAGCCCTGGGGTTCAGCCTGACCTGCCCCATGCATTTTATGGACAGATCATACTTGCACTTGGGAACTACATGAATAGCAGCAAGCGGGGAGCTGTGTATGGCTTCAAGCTCCAGAGTCTGGATCTGGTAAGATGGTAGGGGCAGCATGGGCAGAAAGCCTGGGCAGTGGTGGCAGAGCCAGCATGTTTAGTTCTTTGGCACTGCTCTTCCCTCCCAGCTACTAGACACCAAGTCCACTGACCGGAAGATGACACTGCTGCATTTCATCGCCTTAACAGTGAAGGAGAAATACCCAGACTTAGCTAACTTCTGGCACGAGCTTCACTTTGTGGAGAAGGCTGCAGCAGGTAAGAGGAGCCTGGCTGGGTAGGCCTACCCTCCAAGTCCAGCCCAGAACAATCCCAGGAAGCTATGAGGAGAGGGAATACTTGGATCCATTTGTTTCTGGCTTTTGTTATCTTCTTTCTGACCACTTCAAAGCTTTCCGTTGGAACCATGAGCAGGGGCCACCCCAGAGGGTCTTCCTCAAGGCAGCAGGCCCTGTCCAACCCTTCCCAACTAGATACAGTGGGAGCAGGAACAGAAAGGGGAGCAAGGGTTTTATTCCTACCTCCTTCAAGCCAGCCCAGAGACTGCATTTCTTTATAATGCATGCAATGTGATTAGAAAAATTATAAAGACCGTCACAGATATAACACAGATCTCATTTCTGCCCTGCCTGTGAAAACTGGGGTAGGCCCAAGGCAGCTGTGTTTTGGAGACTACCAGCCTCCATGGCTTGCTTTCCCTTGCTACCTTAGTCTTTGGGGTCATGAGTTCACCGCCTCCATTCCTTTCCCTTCCCTTCAAGAGCTCAGCCTACTTGGCATGCACTTCTCCATGTCCGCGTGGGTGTGCCCATATCCAGGGGGAGGGCAAGTTTGCCGTAGTCCTGGGTGGGCCTCAGCCAGGCCTCTGGTGACCACAGTGTCCCTGGAGAACGTGCTGCTAGATGTGAAGGAGCTGGGCCGGGGCATGGAGCTGATTCGTCGGGAGTGCAGTATTCATGACAACAGTGTCCTTCGGAGTTTCCTCAGCACCAATGAAGGCAAACTGGATAAGCTCCAGCGTGACGCCAAGACAGCTGAGGTGAGTAAGGGATGGAGGAGGCAGGAAGAGCCAGGGCCAAGGTGCCACACCTCTCCAGGTGGGCTCCCAACTCTAGTTCTTTATTGAACTGTCTGTATGTGGTGTGTGAGGAAGCTTTGAGGGTGGCAGGCAGCTACTTTCAGGAGACATGCACTCTAAGGAGCTATGAGAACCCACATTCTCTCCAGCTCACAGGGGCTTGGGTAGTTGATTTTCCACCCTTTGGCCCTATGCTCTGCTTTTTGTGGGCCTCCTGTCCCTTGTATGAGAGCTGGGCTTTGTCCTACCAGGCTGACCCCTTCTGCCTGCCCCTTTCCTAGGAGGCCTACAATGCAGTTGTGCGCTACTTTGGCGAGAGTCCCAAGACCACACCTCCTTCTGTATTCTTCCCAGTGTTTGTCCGATTCATTCGTTCTTACAAGGTAAGTTGGAGAGAGACAAATTCAGCTGAGAGAAAAAACTAGTTGGAGGAGAGGTTGGGCTCCAAGATGGGGCCTTTTTAGACTTCTCTTCTAGGTCCTAGGGAGGGAGTAATGGAAGCTGACGACAGGCCTCTTAGCTGTGAACTAGTGGGCAGGGTGGGGGCCCCGGCCCTTCCTGTCATTGTTTGGGACAGGAAGTGCCCCTCCAGAGGGTGGCCACCTGGGGTTAGCTAGTCCCACTGTCACCCACTCTCCACCCTCCATTTTAGTTCCTCCCCTCCCAGCCTGTGTTAGCCTCATCCCCCTTCCCCCCCATGGTTCTTAGGAAGCAGAACAAGAGAATGAAGCCCGCAAGAAACAGGAGGAGGTAATGCGGGAGAAGCAGCTGGCTCAGGAAGCTAAGAAGCTGGATGCCAAGGTGGGTGGGACCAAGAGCTGTCCTGGAAGAGGGCAAGACAGACAAAGAAGTAGGGGCTTGGGGCAGCAGAGAGCTAAAAAGGAGCTAGAAAACTAGAACTTACAGACTCCCCCACTCCCCAGAAGGCCTGAGGGCTAGAGTCCAGAGGGATGGGGAGCTGGGCTTTGGGAGGGGAATTCCCAGCAGTACACAAGAAGTCTGTAGGCTGTTTTTTGGGACAGGAACCATTCCCTTGTCAGGTTAGCGATGATTTCCTTCCCACTCCCATACTTGGCTCTAGACTCCATCCCAGAGGAACAAGTGGCAACAGCAGGAGCTAATTGCAGAGTTGAGGCGGCGCCAGGCTAAGGAGCACCGGCCAGTTTACGAGGGGAAGGATGGTACCATCGAGGACATCATCACAGGTGGGGCCTTTTCCCTCCCTGGGGCCTGCCCACTGGACCCAACTCCCACAGCCCAAACTAACCCCTTTGGGCCTTTCTCCCACCTCACCCCCCTACGAGGGCTGACCACTGTGTCTCTCTCCTGGGCCACAGTGCTGAAGAGTGTCCCTTTCACGGCCCGTACTGCCAAGAGGGGCTCACGCTTCTTCTGTGATGCAGCCCACCATGATGAATCAAACTGTTAACCACCAAGGTTGGGGCCCCTGACAGGTACCGGGCATCACAGCTACACCCTTTGCATGCCCACCTTTCTGGACTCCTGTGGGAGCCCACAGGCACCTCCCCTGCATGTCTGTGGCAGGCAGCCTCCCGGGGTGGGGATACATACTTCTGGCATGCCTCATGCTCTGAGAAGCATGGCTTATCCCCTGCATGTGCCCTTGGGGAAGTGGTATCTCTCCCACTAATACTGTCCTGGCTTCTACTAAGATGTAAGGGATAGGCAGTTGGCACAACAGCAGAACCAGACCTACGGTTCTGACCACTGAGGCTCCATTCCTGGGCTCAGAGATCCTTGGTCCTGGGCTCAGAGATCCTTGGTCCTGGACTCTCCTAAGATTCCTCCTCTTAACAATTCTGGCAGTAGCAGCTTTCCAGCGACAGCTATCCCTTGATCTCTGCATCCTGACATCCAGTTGGGCTGGGGTCTCTTCCTGAGTCTACCTCATCTCTGCATAGCAGCCTCTAGAACCCCCCACCTGATCCTCTGAAATTGCAGGGCCCCGGGAATCTCCCCAGCTGGCTCTCAAAAACCTCTAAGCTCCTTCTTGTCCTGCTCAATCTCTCTGCTTCTTCACAGGCGTTTATCACCAGCCTGTTGTTGCTTGCCACCAAGCCAGGAGTGCTGCACCACCCAGTGGCCATCCTCGGGCTCCAGGCCCCCACTGAGACCCTCTTGGAAGCAGAATCACTTCAACTCTCAAAAAGAGTCCTTCAAGTCCAGACAGTGGACCTGAAGCGGAGGGCCTGGCAAAAGGCTGTCTGCTCTCTCACTGGCGACTACCCCAGCTCTGAAGCTGTATCTTACCTGTGCCACTGTGGGCACTAGGTCTTATAAGGGCCTGGCACTTTCCTAGTGCCTACTGTACCATACTGCACTTTGCCCCCATGGTCTTCCACTTCATTTCCTGAAGGGTTAGTTTAGGGCTGGGAAAAAACATTTCCAACATTAGCCCACGCAGGGTCACCTAGGCCCCTCTCCCACTACAGCCCCAGAGGATGAGAAAACACTATTCTCCCTGCATTTTTTTCTTTTAGTAGTCTCAACAGTCAGCTCTGGTCTAGAAGTATCCAGGCTTAGGGAGCCCTGGTACCTTGCCAATCTCTTACCAGATACAAGACCCTCCTTCCCAACCTTCTTCCCAGCTGTGCCCTCAAGATGAGGGATGCCCTGCCCACAACCCTTACTCTTGGCCCCTTCCATGCTAGGCAGCCACTGTACTTGCTCTGGGGAGCTAAATAGCAGAGGTTCTCTGCACCTGAGAAAGGGAGTGCCAACAACCCACTCACCTCTCCTTTCCTCAACTAGGTGGTTTTTGGCAGGGGATAGGAAGCGTGGAGGGTCTTCACAGGCTATTTGCTCAGTTCCCTACCAGCTTCTTCTCAGCCCATGAACAGGAATGCGGAGCCACCTGTTTTTGTGTATGTACCATTTTCCCTCTCTTGTACATAAACCCCAGACTTTCCCCTCTCTCAACAAAGGCTTTAAGCACCAGAATGACTTTGTCTTCTCTTTCTGAGCTTGGGTGACTATGGTGACCATGAGGATAAAGAAGACTTGGGGGCACTGCCTCTGTATTTCAGGGGTGATGAGCTCAGAAGCCAGGGGCAGGTGGAGAAGACAACCACATAAAGGAAGCAAGCTGTATGAGACACTAGTGCCATCTGCTGGGCATATGTATACTTGTCCAGTCCCCAGCCTTCCTCAATACCACATGAAGAAGACGAAAGAGTCACTGGCCATGTTATAAATATTATTTAAAAAACAAAAACAAAACACATAGGGTACATAGGGTCTCAGGGCTTAGAGGAAGCAGTGGTGGAGCCCCAGGGCCAGGGTAGGCAGGAGCAGGCACTGATGCTAGGGGGTGAGGACCCTGCCCTCTGCCACCCAGGCTGTGTCTACCCAATCTCTTCCCTGGAGGCCCCTTCTCTCACACTTTTTTATCTACTGCCATCACCCACCCCACATGGCACAGGCCACTCATCTCTGGTCTGGGGCTGAGGGCAAGAACTGCACTAGTTGTCCGGGAACTGGGGAACCCTTGAACACCAAGAGCAACCTTAAGAGGTGCCAACAGAGGTGTATTGGGGGTGGAGTTACTTTAAGAAAAGTGACACAGACCAGACAGACGAAGGAAGGAGTCTGAGGGTGAGGATGGCCCCAGAGCCAATGCCTCACGCAGGCCCAAGGCAGAGAGCAGCACATCAGATCACTGGTGGTCATCCAGCTGCTGCAGAGTGTCCGCCGCCGCCTCTCCAGTTCCCCCTCACTCAGCTCACTTTCTGACGTGTCCCAGCCTGTCTATTGGAGCAAAGGCATGGCTCACCCAAGCCCCCTGGACAGAGTGCCTTCCGGCTGGGGCCAGGCCCTTTCATTCACCTTCTCCTTCTTGACTCCAAAGCCTGGCGAGCGGTTAGAGAGCTCTGTCTGCCGGAGCTCCCTGTCCTTGTTCTGTTCTTGTTCTTTTTCTTCACTCTCCTTGCCAGCTTTCTCCTCAGGGTCTGTCTCACTCTCAGGACTGTTCTGTAAGAGTCCAGAGCCCACCTCAGCAACCGGGAAAGACAACTGGAAGGTGGGTGAAACATCCCACAAACTAGTAGTTTCTTCACTACTCACCGACTTGTGTCTTCTCTTCTTAGTTTTCTTTTTTGGTTTCTTGGCTTTCCGAAGGCCATGATCTACAGGTAGAAAAATCCCTACTGAGTTCCATCTGGCAAAGGAGGGCTGCTCTTCCTCTTCCTCTTCCCTACCACAGCCCTCTATCCATTCTTTGCAGATGTGGGTTCATGGGCTGAGGGAGCAATCTGGGGAAAGCTGAATCTGGCTTCCTTTACTCTTCTTGGCAACCTGCCTTAGCAGGGATGAGAAGTTCTTCCTATTGCTCCAAAGCTCTCTGTCCTCCCAAACCATTCTGTCCTCGAAGGGCTGGGACTTCCTGGGGGCTTCTACTCAGTCAGAGGCACAGTATTCCAGCTCCCAGCAACTGCTTACCTGGTCCAAGGAGGTGGGAGGAGGGGGAGCCCCGTCCTCCAAGGGCAGCACTCCCACTTTCAACAGAATCAAGTGAAGACGAAGGTTCCGAGCCAGACTCCGAGGGGTTCTGCCTCCTTCGCTTAGAGGGCCGGAGGGATGGTGGTGGCAGCTCCTCCTCTTCCGACTCAGAGCCCTGGGCAGAATAGCAGATGTGGGTCAGTGCAGTGGCTCTCTGGCCACTAGAAGCTCTCATCCAGGAACTGGGGACAGACAGGATCTAGAGCCAAAGGAATCTTCAAATCTCCCTCCAAAAGAGGTGATGTAAGGAAAAAACAAGTGTTTATTTCACCCAAACAATCCAGCCTGAAGCTATATCCCTCTACCTGCCAACTCACTGAGGGTGAGTGGGAACGTTTCCGATGGTGTTTCTTGCCCTTCCTGCTGTGCTTTCGACCTTTGGTGTGGAGATGCTGGCATTCGGTCTGCTAGAAGCAAAGAAGAGATGAGGACCCTGCCTCCTTGTTTGAGGCCAGGCTTTTTGCCTATCCCAAGGCCCCCTCAGGTTTCCCCTTCCTTAGCTGGCCAGGGAAAGGAAAGCCCTAGCAGTAGGAGGCCACAGATGCCTCTGTCAACTTGGCTTACAGAGTTCAATGGCCTAGGACAGATCAGGAAGGCAAGAAGCCTGCCTCACCTCCAGCACCTGCAGGAACTCCCGGAAGAGCCGGATCCGCTCCGACTCCAAGGTGATCTGCTCAAAGGCTGAGTCGCACACAAAGCGCTCACGGACCTTGAACGGGGAGAGCACTGCTGATCAGACCAGGCCCTGCCTGGCCCGGCTTGGACACCGCCACGAGTACTGGGCAGGGCTGGGGCAGAGGAAGGGAACTGGAGCTGGCCCAGGGCTGTGCTGTGACTGGGGTGGGCCCTCAGTGGTAGAGAAGCTCCGCTGCCCTCAGGCTTGAAGGTGATTGGGGCCAGGCTGTGCTCCTGACCTCTTCCCACGCAGTGCCCAGCTCCAGAGCAGGCACGGCCTGCCTCAGCATGCTTCGAAAGGCAGCTTCCCTGCGCCGCATCCTTCGTGCCTCCTCCTTTTCCCGCTCCCTCTCTCGCGCCTCTGCTTTTTCCAGCAGCTGAGAGCAGAAGGAACAACAAGGTCACCCAGAAGGGTGGGTGTCCAGAGCTCACTCAGGCTTACTTTAAGAGGACAGGAAGGTGGGGCTTGGACTTCTGCCATCATCCCCCCAAACCCAGGATACAGTCAGGGGGACACTGTTGAGAAGGAACAAGACACTGGGATGAGTGGGAGAAGTGAGCCCTCCCCACTCTGCCCAACCCCTCACACTATTGAAGGTCAGCTTGATGTTGCCTGCGTCCAGCGCAGCAGCCCTCTTGTCAAAGCTTATGACGTGGGCGAAGTCCTCAAAAGCTGTGTTCACCTCCACACAGAAGCCCCGGTCCTGTGGGCACAGCAGCATGTGAAGCTGGGGACACCATGGGCCTGAGGCAAAGGATGCTCAGACTACAGGATGCTCAAGAGACCCCTGGCCCCAGGAGAGGGTCCACAAGACTGACACATCTCACTCTCCAAGCCTTGATCATCTGACAAGCATCCATGCCTACCCCTGATGTGGATGTCACATGGAGCCTAAGGGGTCTCCATGGTCTGCTGATTGATGCTTGAGTTTCTCACAATTAGCTCTTTGTTCCTTTGGCTACAGCTAGGCTTCCTGCTACTCAGGGAAACTTCCATGCATTCTCAATTAACATATGCAGGTCCCTACCCTTTGGCTCTTCTTACTGAGTGCTTACTATGTACCAGGTCCCTTGCTGAGTGCTTCACACACATTCTCATTTTATCTTCCCAGTTCTTTGCGGTCCTAGTGTCCTAATTTTATGCAGAAAAATGAGAGCACCTGCCAATGGTCTCTCTGAACCTGCCCATGGTCTCTCTGAACCTATGGCTGGGCACGAACTCTACCCCAGATCTTTCTAAATCGAAAACCTGTGCTCTCAAGTACCACATCCACACTGATCACTTAGTCCTGGGAGAAATGGAGGCCATCAGGTGTGCAACTGCCCAGCCATATTAAAAACATGCCCCATTCTCCACACACCATGACTAGATCCTGCACTTCTCACTTAAGTCTCACAATATCCCAGTGAAGGAGAGGCTCAGGAGAGTGATCCTATTTGGCCCAAGATGACAAAAGTATTAAGTGGAGTCACTGGGGCTCAGAACAGCTCCCCTTCCTGCCCCTCTAGAAAGCTCTGATTCCTCTGGCCTCTCTGATGATGGCAGAGGCATGATCTTGCTTTTAAGAGTCTTTCCTCAACCCATGATCCCCGACACATTTCCTGTCTTTTAGGAAACTAAAGACTTCAGTTTCATCCTCTTTAGTGGCTTCTTCCAGGGAGCCCACATCTCACTTTACCTGGAAAATCCCTTCACGCTGTTCTCAGCTACTCAAACTAACTACCTCTGTTTAAGTTTCAAAATCCCTTTAAATGCAGCACAGGAAAAAAGGAGTAAATATCTATTGAGAACCTATTATGATACTTTATAAATGCTATCTAATTCTTACAACCTGGTATTTGGATTATACCCATTCACAGAGGAGGAAGCAGGCTCAGAGGCGCTACATAACTTGTGGAGGTCTTAGAGTCAATAAACAGCCAGGAGTTACTTCAGCTTAAAATGTGTGTTGCCCCAAAACCATCTCTTCATAGTCATCACTGCTCTCCCAAAAGTCACTCATTATTCTAATTGACAAAATCAAGGACTCCTGCTTGGTCTTCACTCATCTGGTCCTCATCTAGGCCTCCACTGTTCCCTCCCCGGTCCCCCGTCTCTCAGACTGCTTTTGTCGCTTCTCTTGCATGTACACATTCCCCAGAACTGCCTTTAGTCACTACCTGATCTACACTTTCCTTTGCAGTCTCATCCCTCACCTGTCTTATTTTCAGACCCATATAAGAGTGGCTATTGCAAACACTCCAAATTCAACATATTCCAACACATTTCACACAAGCACTCCCAAACCCCTCATTGATCTCCCAGGCCCGATCTGTCTTCCACCTGCTCCAAGTCCAAGGCTGTGCAATGTCCTGTCAGATGAGAGGTGCCACTACAGTCCACTTGGCTGTGGACAGCCATGGGGACTCCTAGGATCATTTCTCCTCCAAAGCCAGTAGCCCAAATGGAGGAATAGGAAGGGGAACTGTCCGTAACAGCTGCTTTCTCAGGTGATGTGGAGACAAAACTCAGATCAGGAATCCAGCAGGCCAGGTGGTGGTACTGGCCACTCTCTGGCTAAAAGTTAACTGTCCAGGGCTGGTAGAGTGGCTGAAGTGGTAGAGTGCCTGCCTAGCAAGCTCAAGGCCCTGAGTTCAAGCCCCAACACTGTCAAAAAAAAAAAGTCCAATAAAATTTAGCTCTCTTGAGGTTAGGTATTTCTAGTTTATATGATTATCCTGTTTAAACTATATATTTTATTTCTCCCTGCTTTGGTTCCCCAAATGGAATTCCTATCTTCTACAGCCTGTTCTACTTAACCCTTACCAAGGTGCCCTGGCACCCTTTCTTTCCCTCAACACAAAACAATCTGGAAATCTTACTTCTTAGGGACCCTATCCCACTGACTTTCAACTTAACTTTTTAACAGAAACATTTTTTCAATAAAAATCTTATGTTGTATCTCACTTCGTAAAAGAAATACAAGCTGCTCCCATTGAAAATAGGGGGAGAAGTATAAAATCACCACACTTAATCTCCACTCTTTGCTTATCTCAAGGCACTTATGGCGTCTCACCTGCCACCCCACTATCCCTCCCAGAGATTACCTCCCACCTACATTCTGCAGCAGAATGTCCCTATAGTCCACTGCTTCTCCAACTTTGGTACCAAGAAGCCCCCGGTAATGCTAATGGGAGAGAAGTTGGTGGTGAGTCTGAAGAGGGTAACAGCACAAAATGCATTTGAATTACTTGCCACTATCGCTTTTATTATCTCAAGGTTTCAAAAACTGCCCTCCAAGCCAGGGGCTGGTGGCTCACGGCTATAATCCTAGCTATCAGGAGACAGAGATCAAGAGGATTGCAGTTTGAACCCAGCCTGGGTAAATAAGTTCATGAGAACCTATCTTGAAAAAAAAATCCTAGCTTCTCAGGAGACAGAGATCAAGAGGATCGCAGTTTGAACCCAGCCCAGGTAAGTAAGTTCATGAGAACCTATCTTGAAAAAAAACCTATCACAAAAAAGGGCTGGTGTAGTGGCTCAAGGTCCTGAGTTCAAATCCCAGTACCAAAAACCAAACCAAAACAAAAAAATACCTGCCCTTCTGACACTGCCTTTACCACCACCTCCCCTAAGGACACAAATACTTCAAACTGGGAGAAGCTATCACCAGTGACTTTTCCAAGATACCACCTGACCTAACTTATAAGAGAAAAATCCAAATTTCTTATTTTAGTTTTCAAGGCACTTAACATGCAGAGCGTTACTTCCACATGGGGTATGAGGTTCCAGAAAAGAGAGGAAACCAGGATATACCTCACGTAACAGTAATTTTAAAAAAAATATATATATAAATTCTTTTTTGGGGGAGGGTTTACAGACATGTGCCACTATACCCAGCTTATTTAATTCATATTAAATAGGAGGTGATATGGCATTAAAATGACATGTTGCACTTTAATTAAGATTAAAAATTAAATTTAATTAAAATAAAAATGATGTGTTGTGTAACTTTGGGAGGCAAAACAAAGGGTTCAAAAAGCATGAAGTACAGGAATCTTCCCAGGTCCCTCTCAATTCAGGTACCAAGTTACTCTCCTCTGTAATTAGAGTCCTTTGGTGGAACACACCATTTTTCAGACAAGGAAACTGAGGTTCAAAAAACTAATAAGGTCACACAACTAGTAAGGGAGAGAATATGAACTTTTATCCCAGGCATCCTGCCTCAAGCCCTGTTCTTAATCACTGTCTCGATGGCCAACGAATGTTCTTCACTTCCATAAAGAAATATGCGCTCTCTCTCTCTCTTTTCTTCTCTTGTTCACTCACTTTTGTAACTGTGATAGACAGAGACACTGAGAACTATTTCTCCAGTATAAGAAAAGCGACAGAGCATATGGGATGGCAAATGACAGCTGATACTCACTGCAGTACTAAGAAGGAGGTAAGCAGTGGCGAGGGAAAAAGAACATCTCTCTTCCTTCCTATTTCTAAGAGGGCAGTTAACATCTTAGCCTGAGTGCACAGAATGCCTTGCAGAACCAGCCCAGTTCTGCCAGATTATCCAAACTGAAGACAAGCTGGATATCTAGATTTTTATGTGAGATCTCCTGATTTTAAAATGTTAGTAATGAACTTCAAATTCAAAGTAAAACACACACAGGCCAGAAAAAACACATCTGTGGGCTATCAGTTTACAATTAGCTAAACTTCTTGGTTCTCAAGACTGCCCATTTGCTTTTGCTCCTACAGTACCCTTATGCCTAGAACATTCCACCTTGCTTCACCTACTCCTTCCTTAAATTGACAGTTCAAATGTCAGTTTTTCTGATTCCTGTCTCTTTAATGACACTTGCCCCTTTACCTAATAGTTCTCCTGTCTACCTTCATACTGGGCCATGAGTTCCTAGAAGCAGAAAAATGTGTCTTAAGGCTAGGTATGGTAATACACACCTATAATCCCAACTACTCAGGAGGAGGAGGCAGAAAGATTTCAAGTTTGAGGTCATCCCAGGGATAGTTAGAGAGACCCTATCTCAAAATAAAAACAAAAGGGCTGAGAGTGTAGCTCAAGTGGTAGAGCACTTGACTGGTAAGTGCAAGGCCCTGTACAAAAAAAAAAAAAGTGTCTTATTAATTACAGTACCCCCAGTGCAGGGTAAAGGACCACAGTAGATATCTGCTGAGCTGCCATGGTCCTGCAAAATGAGACTTATCAGGGAGTCCTGTCCAGGGAGTGTGGCTTGCACCCAATGCATCCATCTATAACCCCAGTTCCCCCTCACCTTAAGTATGTCCTTAATGATCTTCTTCTCATCATGGAAGCGTGCCTTCAACTCCTCCACATAGAACTTGAACAAGTCCAGAGGGGTGGAGCCTGCAGGGAGGGAGGGAGGGGGGCCTGGCGGGCGGCAGCTTCCCAAGGCCTGGGGTGGGGTCGAGGACAGGACCAGGGAGTGGGGATGCAGAGAGGCTGGTGGGGTAGGAAGCCAGACCGGAGAAGAGGGCCTGGCTGCCTTACCCGGCTGGCCCAGCATGTTGGCAAAGCGGATATCAGTGCTGACTGCTGGGTATAGCTCCATCCAGGTGGACATTGAATGCAACTGCCCTGTCTCGTGCAGCTCGTCCAGGAAGGTCTGAGCAGGGAGAAGTCAGTGACAGGACAGTGAGACAAGAAGAGAGACAGGGACTGGGGAGGAGGAGAGGGTATGGCAGGGGGAGAGGCAGGGGCAATCCAGACTGAGGAAATCCAGGCAAGGGCAGCAAAGTTGAAGAGATACAGATGCAGAAGAGAGTACTACAAAAAGGAGGGACTGTATATACACCAAGGGAGACAGAACAAAAAATGAGAACAAGCCAGTCTGGGAGGCAATAAAGCAGAAACCTGCCAGCAGCACAATCTTCTATGACTTGGCTTCAATTTTTCCTGACATGATCCAGTTAACTCACCCCCACCAATGCCATCACCTCTACCACCCCCAAACTGAAGGATGAGCTCAGCCTGTCTGGCTTCCACAAAGGAAATACAGGCCTGGCTGTCACCCAGGATGCTCTCTGCTGGCAGCTTCTAGGAGGTGCATACAGCTGGTCTCCCTAGAGGAGCACCATCCAGAGCTAAGAGGACACAGCAGGAGCTTGGACAGGGCTAGACACAAAACAGGCAGCCTAATCCAGAGGAGGCAGGACAAAGGTGAAGAAGATGTGATCTGGGGCAGAACTCTGATCTCCAAGAGCGGGAAGATACCTGGAAGGCCTCCCGGTTCTTGCGTTGTTGGCGCCGCTCCCGAAGCCGGGCCCGTTCCCGCTCTTCCTCCTCCTCCCTCTCCAAAGCTCGGATATGCTCCTCAAAGCAGATCAGTGCATCTTCTTTGTCCATGTCTACAGGCAGGGAGGAGGCTCAGGAAGCACCCAGCAGGAACCCCTCCCTGTCAGATCCTGGCAGCCCCTGTGTATTAAGGATGCTGTGTCCCCTGTAGATGCTGGGGACACTCAGAAGAGTGGGGCAAAGGGAAGAGAGGGCTCCATGAGAGTAGCCACTGCAATGATGGAATTTGCAAGTATTTAACTCTGGTGAATTCAGTAACTAAAATCTGAGGTTTCACACTTTAGGGAACTGGAAGTCAATCAGGCTTTGATGTAACTGCAGAAAGTAAATTAAGTTCTCATATCATCAGTGATCACAGGCCAACAACTTCTTATTATAGCATATGTGACCAGTTAAGGCCCACAGAGTTGTGATAATTTAAGACCATCTTCACATGAGCTAAAAATACCATCATCACCATCATCTCCAAAACTTTTGGTTCCTATTCTAGACATCTTCCTCCAGGAATACACAATGTCCAGGTCAACAGTGAACTCCAGTAGACACCTGGGCTAAGGGTGTAGCTCAGTGGCAGATCACTTGCTTAGCATGCATGAGGCCCTGGGTTTAATCCCAGGACCACAAAATAAAACAACTCCAGAAGGAGAGATAGGGTGATCTGAAACCTCTGGAATTTTCAGAGTCCAAATAGGGACAGTGATTGAGTGAGTACTGGGGACTTCCAGGATAGCAAAGTGGGCAGGGTAACACAGGCTCTAGCATCTCCGGTCAGTTAGGAAAGGGGAAGGGACAGGTGGGACTGGAGACCGAGGCTTACTCTGCAGCTGTTGGTCCTGAGCAAAGCTGGGGTTATCCATGAGGTACTGCTGGGCCTGGGACCATGTGGTTTGGAAATTGACACTACTCATTCCATCCAGGATGCTCTTCAAGGCCTGGATGTTGCGGCGTCGGAGCTGCTTGGCCTGTTCCTGGGGGGAGACAGGATTAGCGTGAGGCAGTGTCTCTCAGAAAAGAATCTGCAGAAAGGAGGTAGTCAGAAAACCCTGGGAGGAGGGTCAGACTCAAGGCTTTCATCTCCCAAAAATGGGGAAGCGAGCATAGGTCACAGACCAACCTGAGACTCCTTGCCCTCCCACAACCAGGGTGGTAAGCCCAGGACTTAAATGGGGGTACATACAAGCGTCACACCAGCTTCAGTAGCTGGGGCACTAGGCAAGTGAAGAAATGAATGGCCAGGGTCCAAAAGAAAGCAAGAAGGAGAATCCAGGATGAGCCAGGGGTGAGGATCCAGCCCAGTGACCATTACCTTCTCCTTCTTGGCCAGGAAGAAGAGGACATCATCATAAACCTCTTTTCGATCCCTCTCGGGGACCACAGCCCAGACCTCCAGCTCCCCAAAGGTCTGTTCTGCCCGCCTGTGGAACACATGGGCTGTGAGTAGGTAGGTAAAGAACAGACCCCTGCACCTCTGTGTTCCCAAGGTTCCCAGGCCCTGGCCCAACCCTGCTCAGCCCCCTGACCGGTAGCGGGTGGTGGAGGTCATGCGTTCGTGCTGTTCAAGAAAATGTTGCAGGGTCTGCTTGGCTTCCTTGGCCCTTAGTCGGGCCTCCTCTTTCTCTTCCTTCTCCCGCTGTGCCTTGTAGGCATTGAATGCCTGCTTTTTCTCACTCAGTTTGGGCAAGGCACTAGAGTGGAGAGGATGGAAACAGACTAGGAACAGGAAAGGAAGCAGCCTGAACCACCCTGCACAGCCCAAAGCTGAGTCATGGAACATGGGGGGAAGGGTCTCCAAAAAGATGAGTGGGAGATCCATGCATGAACTCAGTACACAGATGTCTGAGGTATGGGTAGGGGTAAAACGTAGTACCCCCACCCATGACACTGCTGGTACTTAAGTCTTTTTGCTTTGAGATTCTCAAGTTGCTGTCAGACATCTGCCTTATTCAGGCCCCCTTTCTCCCAATTAATTCAATTCAATCAAATCCATTAAACATTTATTGAGCATGCCATGTATCTTTCCCTTGCCTTATTCTAGAGGCCTTCCAGCTTTTCCTGCCCTTATACCCCACCCCAGTCTATCACTTTCCTAACTTCAGCCCCTAACTGAGTCTGAATGTTATGCTGGGCTTCTCAGGAAGTCCATGGCCCAGCTGTTCTCATGAACAGAAACCAGCTCCCTCTGCCTATACCAACCTGTAACGAGGGTCAGTGACTACCATCTTCATGGCCTGTTCCCATGAGGCATTGGAGGGGACAGCCTGAAAACAAAGAAGAGACAGGTCTTGGGGCCTGCCTACCTCTAACCCCTCCAGGCCTTCCCTAGGAACTCCACCCTCAGCACCTTGTCCCTCAGCAGCTCCTTGAATGCCTGCTTTGCCTTCTCCCGGTTGCTCCAACTGAGGCCAGACCGCTCTGGCTCTGGCTTGGCTTCTTCCTCTTCCTGCTGTGGTAGCTGATGCTGTCCAGTAGAACTAGGGAGGCAGAAGGGACTCAACCACAGGAGCACCAGTCCTCACTGCTTTCAGTGCCCTGCACTCTCAGCAACACATCACCTGCTCCTTGCTCCTCAGAGCAGCCTCTTTCTGCCCTTCAGCCATGCCCAGATCTTCCCGCCCCATCTCAAGGCCCCGCAGAGAGCACAGGTTGAGCCAAGCAAAGAGCCTGAGGCCAGCATCCAGAATGCTGCAGCAGGTAGTCCTCCCTCACCTGCTAGGCCCCTCCTCTGGCTGCTGTAGGAACCCCTGCTCCAGAGGCTGAGCAGCTTCCAACACATCACAGTCTTCACTTCCACCTGGCTCAGGTTCCAGGAGGCCTGTGGGCACTGGGGTGGGACCAGGAGGTACAGGCGGGGGGTCAGGCTGTGGCTGAGGAGGCTGTGGCTGCTGCTGTTTTCTGCAGATGAGCCAGAGGGTAGTATCAGAGTAGAACAGGGACAGGAGGGCAGGTTTCTCTAGCTTGGGAAGGACTGGGGCTTCTTAGTCAAGTCCACAAGGAGACTGTCCCTCCCACAGACAAGGGATAATGGAGAAAGAGTCCACTCCCATCCCCAGGTGCCAAATATGGATGGATATGTGAGCAAGTCACTCACCCTGCAGCCTCTTGTTTGACTAGGGCTGCAATGGGAAAAGACAACAAAGTCACAGGTAGCAAACAACCCCCAGCAGCCCTGCCCAGGCCTCTCCCTCCACCCACAGGATCCCTCACCCTCCAGGTCATCCAGGTCTTTAGGCCGGGTCCAGCGGGACTCCTGACTCTGGTTGTTGTAGTAGTAAGGTTTGCCTGTGTCCGACTTGTACTCTTTCCAAGGACACTGGGACAGCAGCAGCTACAATAGGATGGGTCAGAGACATTAGTGGGCTGGGAAGATGCCCAACCAGTCAGCTGGGAACTGAGGGAACCCAATGAGCAGAGAACACAGTAGTCTAAAATTTTTTTTTTTTTGAGGTATTGGGGTTTGAACTCAGGGTTTCATGCTCAAATGGGGGATCCTGAGATCCAGGGGAGACACCTCCAGGGAGTATGGGGTGGTTAGGAATATTGGGATCAGAGGAATCACAATGAATATGGTCAGAGACTCAGGGGAGGCCAAGGATTAAGAAAGGTCAGGGCAGAAAGCCCTACTCAGGACCTCTGCCTTGGACTTGAGCACGCTGGGCTTCTCCCACACAGACTGTTTGTCATCAGCATTGTAGTAGTAGATGCGCCCATCAGGGGCCACATGCTCACTCCACAGCGCTCTCTGGAAGGGAGAAGCGGGGGAAGTACAGAATGGCAGTCAAAGTCCCTTTTCCAAAGCTCTCCTCCTCACCCCAAAGATTTAACCATCAACACCCACCCTCTAACTTCCAACCATTCTACCCAGAGACCCAAGCTAGAAGGACTCACCGGAGGGCCTGTCCCACCCATAGCAGCTAGAAAACAAAACAAAGTAAATCTATTAAGTCCTTGTTCCAACCCCCATAATATCCCCACCTAGTCCTCCCTTATTCCATCCCCAGTAAATATTCCCCTGGTCCCATCAACATCCCAGGCTCCCTGGCATCCCAACAGGCATGATCCAGGTGGGCTTCAGTCCATGGTCCCCTCTCCCCTGTAACCCCCCAACCTCCGAGCCTGCGGGGAGCAGACCCCCAGAAGACTCACAGCTGGCGGTGTCCGCACCCGGAGCCGTCTGCCGAAGAAAGAGGAGGGGGAAGGGTTGGGGCCAAGCCCAGTGGCCCCCAGGACCCAGGCCATGGGGGATAGAGAAGCAAGCCAGGCCAGGATCCATGTAACCTGTTCCCAAGGATCTCTGCTCCCTAACAGTCCCATTATCTCCCTATCCCCCCCACAAAGGCGTGGCGCTCAGATCTCAGGGGAAATTGCATAGCAGCTCCTTTCTTCCATTTTCCGCAAGTGAGAATGTTTTGTTAAGTCAACTCCTGAGGCCCATCTCTTCACAGTAGATGCCAAGTTCTACAACCCACTCAGACTCTACTATACTGCGCTCCAGCACAAGACGGTACAGCAAGATCCCCAGGTGCCACTCCAGAGGCAAAGATAATGTGAATAAAAAGGACCTTATTAGCGTGTCCACAGTATATGAGGGGAAGGAGTGTCTGGCACAAATGTGTTCCTTAAGGGTACTGGGTGCAACCTAGGAAGTAACATTAAAGAATGTATATGCTTTTGGTGATAAGCAGGAAAGTAGAATTGCTGAGTATGTGACTGGTGAGAGGATCCAGTGTGAGGAATACTGACAGAGACCAGGGTGAATATGATAAGAGGGAAAGAATAGAATCCATATCCCTGTACTCCAAGTCAGACCCACAGGACTGCAGGGCAGAGTCTCCTTCCTGCCAGCCCCTAGCACTTACCGCTGCGGTGACAGGCACTGCTGGCATCAGCATTCCTGGCATCATTGGAGGTACCATTCCTGGTATCTATGGATACAAAAACAAGCCATGGACTTGAGGGAAGATATAAGCTGGGTGAGGGTCCCTGTGAGTTGGGGTGTCCTGAAAGGCCCAAAGAGAGCTCACTGGGGCTATGAACTCACCTAGGACAACTTCTTAGGCAATTCTCAGATTCTGGGTATTCATCTTGCCTGAGAATTGTCTCAGTCATTTAACAGACAATCTACATGGGCCTTTGCACAAAGCTCCCTTCTCCCCTGGTTTCTGAAGTCCAGATGCCCACTCTCATCTCCACCCCAGCTAAACAGGGTTTCCTGAGGTCCCTGTGGAGGGAGAGGATTACCTGTGTGAGTGGTGGTGGTGCCCCCATTGGTGGAAGCATTGGGGGCAGGATGCCAGGTGGCATGGGGGGGATGGCTGGTGGTCTCTGACTCATAGGGGGGAGCCCCATCGGAGGAAAGGGAGGGGGTATCCCTGGAGGGGGCATCTGGAAATGAGGAAAAGAAGAGATACTGAACAGAGAAGACACTGCCTTGTTAGAGACAGAGAAGATCCATCAGAAAACATCCACCTATTACCCATTCAACCCTCCACTCTGGCTTGGAGGTGACTCAAGACTTTGAGAAGCACAATGCATGAAACTGCCTCCGTCCTCACCAATGAGAAACACTGGTAACTGGGGAGTTCTCTGGGCCTAACAGGCAAGCACACAGCTTCTTAAGAAGTGGGGGAGAGAGAAAGGGAACAGCACCAGACTGTGGGGAAGCTGTACCCCTTCAACACTTCCCCCACAAGAGGTCTCTCAGATAAAGGGAGAAGGTAGACATCCCTCAATTCTCTGCCTTCCATCCCTTTCTCTACAACTCATGACCACCAATGCTATTCCAGCCCAAATTCTGTGGCTTTTTTAAAGAGCACAGGTAAAGAGTAGTGAAAGAGAAAAATGGCCACCACCCCAGCCCTCACACTAAATGGGTTTTTTTCCCTTCACTTTGCCTACCTCCAGCCCCAGCATGTCCCAAGAACAAAAAGACAAAGAGGGAAACTGTCAGCTTTATGGACTACAGCTTAACAGCAACTCTCCCCAACCCAGTGCCCAACAAAACCACCCATCTTCCAAGGGCAGCAAAAGGGCTCGTTACAGAACCATGCTGGCAACACAGCAGCGATGAGGGCTGGGGTGTTGGGGGTGCAGGCTGGAAAAGCCAAGCCCAGGGAAACACATAAAACTTACGAAGGGTGGTGGCATCATGGGGGGCCCCGGTGGGAAGGGGGCAGGCGCTGCTGGGGGCCGGGGACCAGAATCGGGAACCGACTGTTGAGGGAGAGAAAAGTCATAGGACCCAGGATGGGCACAGAGATGGACTTTTGCGGAGAGGAAGCAGAAGGGGTGAGGATGAAAACAGAGCACAAAGTTTAGGAGGGAGTCTCCAAGCCCAATTTCCTGCCCATCCCAAGTTCTGAGCTCTGGGGAGCTCTGCTCTCTCTGTGCCAGCCCAAAGCCAGCTGGCCAAGCCCTTCAATGTCATCTTTATTTTGGGAGTTTCCATTTTGCCAAAGCCACAGAAAAGATAGAAAAGGCTCTACTACAAGCATACAGCTCTTTCCACAGCTTTTAACTCATTCTCTTGCCTGTAAGCGAGGCTGTACCTCTCTCATGCCAGTTAAGGAGTAGCCTCTTTCCCTGTTCAATTAGCCCAGCTGGAGATTAAATCCAATGCTCTAAACATAAAGAGCTGACAGCCCTTTACAGTCCCAGCCCCCATCCCCTGCCTTACTATCCTCTCTTCATTACCAGCTTCCTCCCCAAACCATCTCATCTTTAGTTACCAACTTTCTTCCACTCCAAATCACCAACTGTCCCTTTGTATCACCCCCACACTCCTTTTGGTGGCCACCACTCCTTTACAAATCCTGAACTTGTCTCCTGTGGATTCATGCTTTGCACAGCTTAAATGTCCCTGTCCTCCACCGAATGGCTGACCAGATCCCATCTTTTAGTACTCAGCTTAAGTAACATTACTTTAAGAAGACTTCCTGCTCTAAAGCAGCTCCAATTTTTCTCTACCTGATCCCCTTTTTAGTTTCCTCATGTTCACAATTTTGTTATAATGTTTACCTGGGCATGTGTAATACCATTCCTCAATGGTATTACATAGGTTAATACCATCCACAATGGTGGGGATATCTGACTTGTTGAAAGATAGATTCCTGGTACCTACCATAGTATCTGGCACATAATATGTACTCAATAAACAATGAATGAATGAAAGAACAAACAAAAAGAACAAATCTACATATACAGACTTCCAGTTCTAAAAAAGTCATCCTATAGACATAGCCCTACATGGCCAAAAAATGATGGGTCTACAAAATGATTCAGTATTATTATTGAAATGAAAATAGAAGACTGGAATCAGCCTAAATACCCATCACTAAGGAACCATGAGACTATATACAAACATAAAATGGAATACTATGTGGTCAAAAATAAGAATGAAGAAGTTCACTGTTAAGATATGGACCGATCTCTAAGATATATTAACAAGTGGGAAAAAAGCAAGGTGCAGCAAAGTTTTTATCATGTATATAAATGGCAGTGATAAAAGGTAACACATAAGATATCAGAAGAAGGGGGAGAAAGGCAGAAGGGAGACATTTTACCACAAGCTCTTTTGTATCTTATGAATATGCAACCACATGACTCTATTAATCTGTTCAAAAAAATATTTTTTAAGCAAACTGAGGCTTGGTGATGCAGCTAAAAGGTTACCCTTCCTCTCTGCCTAAAAGCTGCAGGGGGTGGCAGAGGAGTTCTAGGGAAAGGTGGTAGCTAGATGAACAGAAGTCACCTCACTAACACACCTCAGCTACCCCATGCCAAAAAGGCTCAGTATTTTAAAAATGCTTTCTGATCTCTACTTTTAGCAGTATCTATTCTTCATCTCATCCTAAAAGAAGGTAAACTAATGAAATCTAACATCTTTTTTTAGTGTTCAACTACTTTAGCCCGGTATTTAGACCTGCTCCTACCTAAAACTTTCCTCAGCCAGGGATGTCAAAAACTAATCACCAGAGGAAGAAATTCAACCTTCTGTTTCACACTCCCCCACCTCAAGTGCCTTAGGAGCCAATCTAACCTCCCAGATAACATCTTTGGGTAGCAGGCCCCAGGGCTGCCCATGTCCAAGACTGGCACCACCATCCATTCAGCTATCCAAAATAAAAACCCAAAGAGTCACTTTCCTCAGGTCTTTAATACATCACTGAGTTCTCTTAATTTTACCTCTAAAAGATTTCCTGGGTCAATCTACTTCTCTCATTTCCTCTTCCACCTCCTGTTCAAGCCACCACCTTTTCTCGTTTGACTATTGTGTGCCTCCCAACTGTTGTCCCCACATCCACTCCAATCAGCAGCCATGATAAGCACTTCAAAATGCACCTCAGACCATTACTTCCCTGTTTTAAAACTCTCTGGTGGGCTTCAACTTCTCTTAGGGTGAGCATCAAAGCCCCACCTGGGGTCTATGAGGCTATCAGAGGTCTGCTGCCAGCTTCAACCCACTCCACACTCCCGATCTGTGCTCCAGCCACATCATTCTTAGCTCTCCCACCTCAGGAATCCATCTGAGCCTAAAAACAGTCACTTACATACACTTTCCCAGGAAAGCTTTTTCCAGCTCACTGCAATAGAGCCCTCCTTTATATGCTTATTCAACACAATATATCTTTCCATCAGCAATTATCCATTGGCATATTTATTTATTTACTTATAGTAGTACTGGGGTCTGACTTCAGGGCCCTGCACTTGCCAAGCAAGTGTTTCCCACTGGAGTCACAATTCCAAACCTATCCATTGGAATTTTACAGTCATTTGAGCAATCTTGATTATACTAGTAGCTTATGTGGCACTAATAAGAAAAATGTTGCCTATTAAGTTGATACCTCATGGATTTAAAATGAATCCTGACCTGAGTCTTAGAATTAATTAAATGAAATACCTGCAGCCCCTACTAAGTTAAAAACAGAAAGGGCAGAGGGAGGTGCTAGTAAGTGTGTGTTTTTGGCAAGTTCTACCAAACAGCAGAGGGCTTTTGGTAAAGCCTACTAGTTATTCAAGGAATGCAGAATTAAAGAGCTAGAAAGGACCCTGACAACCACCCAAGATCCTCCCCTCTTTTCATACAAGATTAAAGAGTAATGTCCAAAGTCCCACAGCTGATTAGCCCTGACTGGATTCAGTCTGCATTCTAGTGTTCCTCCCCTTAGAAGCACAGTTCTTGCCATAAGAAGCAGGTCTATTTTTCTGTACTAACCTCCCCTATAACCTAAGTGGTTAAATCAGCAGGAATCCAACATTTTCTTGCTTGAGAACCAATGGTAGTTCCCTATTGCCTATCTATAAACTCATCTAACATTCAAAGCCTTTCAATAAAGAACATCCCACACTCTCAGGTCATCTTAATTCAATAGCTTCCCTCCTCCTCTTCTTTGCATAGGAATTATTAAATCACCCTCTTGTGTTTCTTTTATTCTACTTTGTCTCTCACTTTGTTCAAGATGATCCAATATTCACCTTCTTCAGGCTACTTTTATACTACCTCCACCACATACACATACTCCTACCTACCTGTGTCCTTTCAGGATAAATGCTGTACCACTTGGCAGTGACATACTCCTCTGTGAATGTTTGCTGGGTGCTTCACGTGGGACTACCTGTCTCCCCGCTCAGATGAGGATTTCCCTACATTTAGGAATTGGGTTTTCTCCTTTTAAGCCTCCCCTAAGTGTCCAGTAAGGACCTTATACAAAGCACTATGATAAAATGCAATCTCATTCCTGACCCTATTAGATTCTTACATACTGAAATATCCTAAAATAGTGTGTGCACATGTACCCATGTATGCTTGTATAAATTCTCTGAGTACAGACTAACTGAGACAGAGTCAGGTAGTTTGATCTCTGGCTTGGGAAAGGGAACTGGAATCAAATACTGCTATGGGAAAATCTAAATAATCAAAAACTATCTGAATATGACCACCTTCAACTTTCGATTAAGACTTCTGGCCAGAATTTCAGACTCTGACCTGTTTTGGTCAGTTCTTCATGACGCTTCCCCTATGCTGTGTATCCTTTCTTTCCTAAAACACCTGCCCCTCTCTGACCTGCTGCAATGCCAGTACACCTTTGAGTCTGCTTACTCTTCTGAGTGAGAATCTTAAGAAATAACTAGTACAAGAGAGGGATATAGGAAAAGGAACTGAAAGAGAAGCAGATCTTGTGTCCCCCCTGGCACAAAACACACATTTAGGGACTGCAGAGAGACAATGACAAAACACTCGATCATCTGATCATCATGTGTTTACCTGAGCCAGTGAAAGCACCTTTTACCCCAATCAATTCTTCTCAGGCTTCACACATAAGAGGCACCTCAGAACGGAGAATTCAGAATAAATTTATCCATTGGCATTTTAATTTTTTTTTTTTTTAGTAGTACTGGGGGGTCTGACCTCAGGGACCTGAACTTGCCAAGCAAGTGCTCTACTACTGGAGTCACAACTCCAAACCTATCCAAACTAAAGGAGAAACCAGGCACTGGCGGCTCTTACCTGTACTTGGGAGGCTGAGATCTGGAAAACTGTGGTTCAAGGCCAGCCCAGGCAAATAGCTTGTGAGAACCCATCTCCAAAAGAACCAGAGCAAAATGGACTAGAGGTGTGGTTCAAGCAGTATAGTGCCTACTTTGCAAGTGTGAAGTCCTGAGTTCAAACCCCAGTATCATCAAAAAAAGAACAAAAGGAGAAAAGGACAAGAATGGAGAGATGAAAAGGAAAGAATTATAAGAGATAATAACAACAATTGATAAGTACTGTTTACTAAGTACTTATTATGCACCAGATACCATAACACTCATTTAATCCTCACAACCATTTTAGAGGCTGTTATCCCCATCTTACAGATACAGAAGCTGAAGTTCCAAAGGATTAAATGGCAGAGACAGGTTTGGAATACAATCTAACCCCAAAGCCTATACTTTCAACTACTCCACAAAGCTGCCTCCCAAAAAGGAGAATGGTGCCACAGATGCTATTTCTTACCCTCAGATTCATTCCAGTTTTTTTCACCCCAATCCTCACACAATTTTGAAATCCTCAGGGAGCCAAGTAATCCCAAGGTCTGCCTGGTCTGACTCACTCCCAGTCCCTGAAGGGACATGTTGGAAATGAAGAGTGGGAGACACATCTCTCAGAAAGTAGCCATCATCAAAAAGAATCTGTTAAGGGCTGGGGATGTAGCTCAGTAGTAAAGCACTTGCCTAGCATAAAAGGAAGCCCTGGTTTCCATCCCCAGTACCACAGAGAGAGGGTGGGAAACAATGGACAGAGACAAAAACAGCTGAGAAACCACCTGAATACCCTGTGGACTGTTTACCTGCTACACTTCTTCAGCTGTCCCCAAATAGCACCAGTCCCTCCCCTACTGTTCCCAAAATCTTTCTAGCCCCACTCTCCTATACCAGCCTTACTGTTTCTCCAGTTCCCCAAAGAGCCTGGAGACCTTTCTAGAAAATATCTTCTTGCTGCTTCTGATCCCCCACCATCTTCTCACTCACTCTGAAGAACAGAATGTTACTCTAGTCTGGTTACTACGCTTTCTTGAGTCAGGCAGGGCTCAACCTCTTCAGAGTTCTCTCATCCCTCCAACAGAGTTCCAAAGGGGCTGGACGGCCAGCCGGCCCCAGCCTTGCAGGCTTTGTTTATCCTCCCCCTCACTACCCCACCCCTCCACATCCCTGGGGATTTTCTCCAGCCCAGCTGAAGGCCTCTTTTCCATCTTTGTGCTTCCTGGTGTCCTAGAACCCATTCGCCTTAATTCCTCCTCCTCAAAAAACAAAAACAAAAAAAGCCCCATTTTGTAACTAAAACAGATCTAGCATATCATTTTCACCTATTTTCCTTTCCTTAAATCAATGGGAAATCCGAGGCCCAAAGAAAGGCAGTGACTTGTCCAAGGTCACACAAGAGTTGTGACAGTTTGTTGATGGCAGAGTCAGGGCTAGGATCAAAGGGGTCTTGGCTCTTCCATTTCTCGCATATCCACCCCCGGGGTGATGACCGGGAGCTTGTCTTTCCTCAGAAGCCCCCTCCTCACCTCAGGAGACAAGGTCTTGCAAATGCGGAGAAAGGTAGGGAGTCCCCTAGTGGTCCTAAGGGGCACCCAGGGCTTCCAGAGAGAAGTAGCACTGGGTCTGGGGGAGGGGCATGGGGCACGCCAAATACCTCAGCCGAGGTAACTGCGGTTCCCTCATCTCCCGCCCGCTTCTTCTTTCCCGACCTTTCTCCACAGACTCACCCTTCACTTCTTCCTTCTTCCTCCTCACCCAGTCCCGCAACTCTCATTCCCCTCAGCCCCCAGCCGCACGCCCCCCGCCCCGCCGCGCCAGGCTCCATCATGGCCACCCCCGCCCCTTCTCCCCCAAATCCCCGCCCCCATCACTCTCCTAGGCTGCCCTCCCTCACCCCTCATTTCCTTCGCCCTCCTCGGGGTACCGGGTACCCCGGTAGCCTCCCCGCGCCCCCTCCGGCCCCAGCTCGGGCCGCAGGGGGCGCTGTGGAACCGCCCCGGGCCCCGCCACCCCCGCGCGGGGACGTTACCATGCCAGAGCCTCCGAGCAGCTGGGCCGGCTCGGCCCACCCGCCAGTAAAAGCTGCTCTGATTGGCCGGTCCGCAGCCGGGAGGGCGGGGCCAGTAGGGGGTCGCACCCCTTCGTGGCCGGGGCTCCGGTTGCTCCCGCGGCGGAGCGGAGCCCCCAACCGGCCCGGGAAGGGCCCCGCCCCCCGGCGCGGAGAACCAGGCCCCGCCCCCGTGCCGTCGGTCCCTGGGCCCGCCCCCGGGGGCGGGGCGCCCGTGCTCCCGCCTTTGACTGACTGCCTGGCGGGTGCCGCGCTGAGCAGAGCGGCACCGAGCTGTATGCCCCGGGCTCGCGCGTCTCCGCGATTCCTGCTCCGGGCCCGCCGCGTCCGCGGCCAAGACCCGGCCGGATCGAAGCATTCATTCCGTATATAGCCTTTGCACTTCACGAAGCATTTTAAAATTTGCTGTATATTTATTTTTAGCACTTTTAAACTAATTAGCTCAACTGCTTATGCAGGCACTGGATATAAAGTAATTTGGGAGGAAAAACCCAAAACAGACAAATCCCCTAAGCCCTCCTGGAGTGCTTCTCACTTGACCTAAAGTTACTTTGGGAATCTGGCTCCCACCCACCGAGCGGTAAACTCAAAAGGAGAGACCTGATCTTTTATAGGAATTAAAAATGTGAGATAAATGTGATGCAAATAGGGAACTCAAAGTTATTTAGTGAGTATGCTAAAGTCTCGGCCAGTAACCAGACAGGACTTCCAGGCATACGGTGGAGGGATTAAACAACTTGTGTAGGATTTGTTAAGAACAACAGACTCCTGCCCTCCTACCTTCTCTTCCCCAGAGGCAACCATTTTCAACTTTTTTAGCTTTTTCTTTTGGCAGTTACCTCCACATCCCGGCCCTCCTCCAGCTGCATCCCTCCGCACAGGGTGAGGAATCTCAGAAGATACATCTGCCCATCCAAAGGCTACTCACTCCCCTACATACAGACCATATTCTGACTGTCGGACCCCGGAGTTCCCTGCCCACTTTCTTCCAGGGCTTGCATCAGCTTCTGGCTTGGATCCCCCCTTCCCAAGGAGACCTTGCTAATGATGTGGGCTTCTGTGGACATGAGGGGTACCCAAGGGGCAGCTGTTTCCAGAGAGAGCTCAGGTAAGCTAGGATGTCACAGGATCTTGTGTGAGGCTGTCTCAATGCAGGACAGAGTCAAAACCAGAAGGGAAAGGGGGTCAGGCAAGAGCCAGGGATTGGGGGGCTGCCATTTTCCAGTGGAGAATTCTGGAGTGTCCAAAAATTCTAATTTAGAACCTGGTCTTCTAGGTTCTTATGAAGGTATATTTTCATAAAGTTAGAATTTAGGATGTGTTTTATTTAGCAGCTTGTTAGCTTTAGAATTTTGAAATACTTAGTGTGTGAATTTTCATTGTAGTCTTGTCTCAGTCATCAACAGGGACAGATTTGAGGATATATATAGCTCTTTTCCCTTCCCCTCTCCTTACCACCTATACAGTACATTATTTCCAACACCGATCTACCAAATTTAATTCTATAATAATTTTTGTTGGCTCAGTCTTCAGGTTCTCCACCACTGTGCTTGTACATGCTATTTGGAGTTGAGCCAGGTAGAAAACATTGATATACTTCCTTTTTTGCACAAGTTTTTATTTTCCCAGAATTAATCACATCTTGTTCTTTTCATTTGCTTCATTTTCTATGTATCACAAAATCTGCCTCCAACCCTTTCCCCCAAGAGTTTGCCTACATCTCTTCTCAGGGTAGATACAGCAGATACTTACTGAGGTTTGAACTGAGGGCCTAGCGCTTGCTGGGCAGGTACTCTACCACTTGAGCCATTCCACCAGCCCTGTTTTGTGATAAGCATTTTCAAGATAGGGTCTTGTGAACTATTTCCTTCCCTTGGAACCTTGATCCTCCGGATCTCTGCCTCCTGAGTAGTTAGGATTACAGACATGAGCCACGAGCACCTGGCTCTTCTCATCTTAAAGACATCTGCTCGAGCCTTCTGACCCCCAACAATCCCAGTGTTTATCCCCAAAGCTTGCATATCCCTCAATCAGACATCTCCTTTCTTCTTCTCCTGGGCACTTCTTTGCCTTTTTCCTTTGTTGGGTTTTCTATTTGCCATATTCCACATCTTTCTCTTTCTTAGTTTACTCCCTTTTTTTTGGAGGAAATTATCTTCCAGAAGCTTCTAGAGAAAGAGGGAAGTAAATTGTTTTTTGAAACCTTGCGTATTTGTCTGTGCCATTATTCATTATTCTACCCTGATCTTGAATCTTGACTGGTTGTTGGGAAGGGTATTGACTTCCTTCACAATCATGAAGGTGTTGCTCCATCACCTTTTAGCCTCCACCATTGCTATTCAGAAGTCTTTGTAAGAAACTTTTCCCCCTCTCTGAATCTCTCCTTGTCTTCAATGTTTATTTATTTATTTATTTTGGCAGTACTGGAGTTTGAACTCAGGGCCGCCATGTTGAGCCACTCTACCAGCGTTTTTTGAGATGGGTTTTGTTTTATATAGGGTCTCATGAACTATTCGCCCGGGCTGGCTTCAAACCACATTCCTCTTGATCTCTTGCGTCCTGAGATCTAGGATTTCAGGTGTGAACCACTGGCACCTGACCTAACTTTTTTGTTTTTGTTGTTCAATATGTTTGTGAGATTTGCCTATATTACTGTGTAATCATGAATTCATTCTTTTTTTTTTTTTTCTTTCTTTCAGTGCTGGGAATCAAATCCAGGGCCTTGCACCTGCTAGGCAAGCACTTTACCACTAAGCTACATTCCCAGCCCACTTTGTTCTTTTTTTAATGCCAGGTAGTATTCCAATTTAGAAATAAAGTAGAATTTATTGGAGGCATGGCTCATGGGGTAGAGCACCTGCCTAGCAAGCATGATAGGATATACCTTTTGAATAGCTAGGATTACAGGAGTGGACCATCATAACAGTTTATTGATTGAGAAAGGAGTCTCATTAACTTTTTTT